GACCAGGATGACATGAACCCATACACTCAGTCTCGTCCTCAGAGCAGCCTCTATAGTCAGGCACGAGCCCAGAACCCATATGCCCAGAATCGAGCTCAGGTCAACCCATATGCTCAGGGCCAGACCAACCCTTACTACGTGCACGACGATGGAAGACGTTCGAACTATTGAGGAACCATGATGGTTTATTCTACAGTGTTGGAAGTTTTGTTGGAAAACCTGTTGGACTTCTTGTTTTCCCCAAAAATGGCTGCATAGGCCTTATGCAATGGCTGAAGAAATGTGTATTGAATATGATTGTACTGTAGGGCAGTTTTGTCCTTTCACTACATTGACCTGTATAGTCTCAACCCTATTCTGACCAATTATAAGTTGTTATAAATCATTCCTGTCTTTCCATGACCAATCTTTGTGAACTTTTGGGATATGAGATACATTGTGGGTCTTTTCAAAGATTTCTCAATATTTTTTATTGTCAGTCAGTTGAAATTTTACTTATTTAACAATTGTTAAATGGCCTTGAACTAGAGCTCGATACTCTGAAATGAGAGGCTATGGGATGCCAATTCTAATGTCTCTCTCGTCTATGAATTTACAAATATTTGTTTTGCATGTAAAACATTTCAGGTTTGTGATGAGTCTAGTTTATGTCTAATGCTATGTTGAACATGCTTTTGGGAATGAGACGAGTTTCTTTTAATAAAACTTTATAAGTTCTTCCTCCAAATCAGGACCTGTTAGGTCCCTCTAGATATTTGAGTGTAATTTGTGTAAAATGTTTTCTGCAATGAAATTGTTTGATGTTCTGTTTTGTATGACTGAGTATATTTTGTTTATGTTTAACTTCTGTCATGACTGATTGATACCAAGCTTTTATTCAGCATGGATAAAATAGCAATACTTAGAAATATTTAACTATGTAATGTATTGTATTAGTTTTCCTTTTTCACTCATAATATCATATGATATTTAATTATAAACTGTTTAAATACATGGAACCATATTTTAAAATAAAAGACTTTCCACCACTTATAATTTTTCATGGATTCTTTCACTGAAGAAAATAAAAACTGAGATGGCAGGTCGGTGTTAAATGTTGAACTGACAGTTATGTTACAGTAATGATCAAAACATTTCAATCCTGAGACCGTGGATATTCTTGATTTACACACAGTAAGGCAAATGCAGTAATTTAAGTGCTGCCGGATATTGTTTTTGGTACTACCACTGGAGGGAGCCAAAGTTAAAATAACGGAAACACTTTCAAAACAGTTACTGTATGCAAGAGATGAAAACGGCTGAGACAATACAATGCATAATGGTTTGAAGGATTTATTTTTCAATGACACATGGTCCATTTTGATAGCAACACTTTTTTCTTTCTTCTATGTCTGTGAAGCACTCTGAACTTGTTACTATACAAATAAAGTTTATTATTAAACAAAGGTAAACACCTAAAAGAAATAGACATTTAGAGTGTCCTTTCAAAGGAGCTATTTGTACATTTTGTTATTGCTACATAGTGGTGTGCAGGGACTTTTACAGATAGGCAAGTAGAGCTAAGAGCCCCCAAACTCAGTGTGCAATTCAGCTGTTTACTACGCTACTGTAAAGTATATGAACCGACTGACACATTCCTTTTCATGACAGTAGCAGTAGCAAATCCCTCTTAAATTCAGGGCCTGTCCTGTCTCATGATTTTGCGCTGCCTATTTTTCCGGTGCTGAAAGTCTCTCTCCTTCATCTTGCTGCTCTGGACATCTTCACCTTTCACCTTCCTGGCTTAACAAGTGTTAGGATTATTCCTCCGAGCTGACAGTAAAAATGTCAAATGTGCAGTATGGAGGGAAAATATCTACAACTACTTCTTTTTTTTTTTTTTTTTGATAATTTTCTTTATTGGATGTAGTTTCACAAGTCGATTACATATTAACAAAAGTAAATCCAACCTTTTTTTCCATTTACTCCCCATGTATCCCTCCCAGCATCCCACCCCTCCCAACATCCCACCCCTCTCAGGAGAGAGCAGTTATCTTTAAACAAGTAGAGATTCCAAGCAATCGATTCATACAAGTATACAAATATACAAATAAAGAAACACCAAAAAAACCTAAAAAAAATTAATAAAAAGAAAAACTACTTCTATGAAAAATATTTACCATTAACTGACAGTGACACTCCAGTAACAATGCATTTGACTGCCTCACCTAGACTTAAGTTGGGAAGGACACAGGAGACAAGGGAATTTCAGTTTTGAGGAGTTGCAGTTGTAGTCTCAGTTATAGAACAGCCCAAAGTGCACATACATCACACTGTAAATCCAGAGCTATTCTGCTAACTGCTAAGGAACTACAACTAGCCAACTCTGCTCCAGTCACAAGCATCATGTTTTCTCTCTCTCTCTCTCTCTCTCTCTCTCTCTCTCTCTCTCTCTCTCTCTCTCTCTCTCTACTTACACAACCTATATACTGAGCTATTCCTGAAAGGAACCATACTACTTGTGTAACAGTATTCTGTCTCAAACTTACTTACGCTCAGAGGTGATTAATCACTGCAATTTGCTGTTTACATGTTACTGCTGCCATGTTTAGTTTCCACACACATCTGCCATGCATATAATGCATGCAATATCATAACTGATCTCAGAATGATAGAAGCTGAGTCAAGGACCTGGTCAGGACAGTTTGACGAGCAAACTTCGGCTGTATCTAGTCACCAGTCAAAGATTACAGGATTATCAACATGTGTTCTCTGCTTGACAAGCCCCAGCCCTTATCAATGGGACACAGTCACATCCACGAAAATGACAGAATCGATAGTTACAACGGCTGGAAGTCAAGCTAGCTTTCAGAGACAATATCCTGCAGCCACCACGGGAGGGCAGTAAATGACATGATGAATGTAGACAGGCAACAAATCCTTTATAGGACAGAAAGCTGTTGTGAGACCAGGTGTAAGAAGAGATATCGCTTCTTCATCAGTATCGGTTTAATTGATTCATATCTAATGAATCTATTTTTAGCTTTAGCTGGGTAAGCACTGCTTCCCTTGCTTGCCGTGACAGCACACCACTGCTACATAGCCAATGTTAGCATTAAAAGCTGTTTACTTATCGGTGTAGAAGAAATGTTGAGAGTTCAGCATCAAACTTCATTCTTTTACTCGCCAAGAGCTATTTCCAGTTGTGGAAAACAACTCTCTTGTTTTGTGTCTGTTTCTGTCATTTCTTTTCTTCTACTTTAAGTTAGCATGCTAACCAGCTAGCACCGGCGCAGATGGACTGTCATTACCTTCTGATACCTTGTCACTGTAGCGTCCAGGTTGTCACGAAGAAGTGGGCTGCTCAGAGAGTTGAGCCGGTCTATCACAGGGCACAGATATATATTTGATTTACAAAATAATGGTTTGTAAATCGCTGAACTGTCCTCAAGTCTGCTGATACGCTTTGGTGAGTAATTTTTTTAGGTTAAGGACAAATATATCCTACATAACTGTTGATCTACAAATGTGTCTGTTCTAAAAAAAATAGTACCTTAATATAGTTTCTCATTAATATGCAACAGGTAACCAGTGGCTACATGCACAGCAGGTGTATCAGCCAGGAAAACACGATTTTAGGCTGCAGTGACTGGAAACACATGGTTGTAAGGAGCAGATCATCTGTGTTGCAGGAAGTTAACATCTGACTTGTTGAATTGCTGATGTGCTTCTTGCCAGAGCAGATGGTCCACACATTATTGAGCTGTAACTGTAGCTTCTCTACAATTTTCTTTCACTCTACTGAGGAGGATGAATGTGACAGGAAAGACTTTTCAACAGGGCTTTCACTCATCCAGCATTTGCCACTGGTAGATATTCATAAATCTTTAGTTTCATTTCTGCTGGAAGAACAGCGACCACCTGTTTTTTGTTGAAAAGCAATATTCAGTACTATAAACTAATTAAGCAATATTGGTGTTGCAAGGCCACACACTGTAAAATGCAATAAAGAAGCCAGTAGAAGCTGCCAGTCATCAGTTCAACTGATGATTGTAAATATGATAAAGTCTCAGTAATGCGGCAGTGATTTGATAATAAAATGCTGCACACACCACCTTTAATGCTGATCATTTTATTGTTCTGCTTAAAAAGGATGTAGACGTACGTATCGAAACCTACCCATTTGTGTGAGTTAAATAAAGCAATTATAAAGATACCCACGTGGTTGTGCAAAAATACCTATGCCACATTTATATGAAAAATATAGTCAATGCACAATAAAAGAAGTACTTGTATAGTACAACCCTGTACTAATTTACTGCTATGGACCACCCCCCACCCCCCCAAAAGTACTATCAATAATATTTATTGTAGGCATATTGTATTTGGTGTAATTCATTAAAAAGGTGTCACACTCGCCCATAATACCACATTCTTGCTGTATAGTACATATAGCTTTCTGTATGTGCCTGCTGTTCTTAAATGTGCTTCATAGAAGGTGAAGACCTGATGAGGGGCTGGTGAAAAACAGAATTGGATCTGAAAAGAAAAACTCAGCCACAGTAGGGTTTTATTTTTATCAGGTTATTTAGTAAATACTGCAAGTCATTTGTGCTGGAATGAACTGATATTTTATTTGTGGATAAATTAAATTAAAAAAGGCACTATGTTGTCTTTATTACCTCTGGTTTCAACCACAGAGTGGTACCTTCCTCCAACACTGTTACACAGAAATTAGTAGTTACTCTTTCTTGCTGATGTAGACAACATACCAACAGGTAAAAGTTAATCTTAGATGAAGTTTATGTAAAGGAGCAAGCCATAAAAAGCTGTAGTACTCCATCTCACATTATTGGTCTGCTGGTTGCTCTGGGTCATACATCTCAATCCCAAAGGCACAGTCTTCCTCCAGCTCACTTGTCTTAACAGAGTCGGGGTGCAGATTTAGCATGTGTGTACACACTTTGTCAGACTAACACATGACCACAAGAGAACTAAGGAGGAAGGCTGAGAATTCAATTATGGGCTTTAGAGGTCTTCATCTTCTGTCTTTTCTTCTGCTGTCTCAAGGAATTCAACTTGCTCAAGGTATGTATATACTCTTGATTTCAAAGCAATGCGTTTTCTAGTAACCAATCTGTTAAAGTTTTAGGGGGATGCAAATGATGCAAGAAGAATATGTGTACTAGGTAATGATTAGTAATGATTAGTGGGATTTTGGGGTTTTTGCATCCTCACAGTGTGATTTTGACCAAAATGTGTTTAAATGGATTCAATCTTTGATCATTGCTGTAATGTATCAGAGATTCACACTTAATGAGTAGTTTGACAAACACTGTGAAAGTTTCACATTAATAAAAATCATGAATCATTAATTATTGATAATTCTAGCTGTTTTAAAACCATTCCTTTTGACATTGAAACATATACACTGACATGTGATGTTAAGATATTGTACAGTGAGTATAAGGTAACAGTTTATCTCCTAAACTGTATTGGCATTTTGAAGGAAATCCTGAAATAATGCCAGTGTTATTTAACATTGTTTGGTAGCCCATGAAAAGTTTTATTTGGCTGTAAAAAATACAGAAAAAAAATCTGACTTTTTTTTTGGGAGGGGGGGGGGGTCTTCACAAGGAAATTAAATTGCATTTTACTGAAATGTTATGGTTGCACATACGATACAAAGTACACATCTGTACGCTGATTCAGACATCAATTATATATTTCAAATGCTTGGCTGCATACTCCAAGGTCATAAGATAGTTTGTCCATTCATGGTGAAGAATTAACCATCCTTTAAAAGCCAAATCACATGTTTTTAGGCGCTACAGCTGTCATAAACATGGTAACTCATTTGTCAAGGAAACAGTAAAATACAGTAAAATTCTTTTCACTTAAGTGACGTGGATATCAGACATTCACAAGTGCATTGTAACCATCATTGAAAGTACTTTAAACTATATTAAATGCACAAATGACCTCTCCTGCAGAGACTTTTACAGGACGAGGCCACGTTACTCCCATAAAAAGATGAATGATGATAGACGTTTCTGCCTCCGTGTGTGTTTTCTGCAGGAAGCTGTAGCAGTGGTGAGTTTCAGTGCACCAGTGGACAATGCATTGACATAGCCTGGAGGTGTGATGGAACTAAAGATTGCACAGATGACTCAGATGAGCTGAACTGTCGTAAGTATTACAACCAGTCCCTGAAAACACAAACAGTACAAAGCAAAGCCTTTATAAGAACCCAGTGTTTCCAGTGTGTTTGATATTGTAAATCCACCCCATAGACATGTATTAATTAACTGGGGAAAATAAAGTTTGGCAGCATAACGCAACAAAGAAAAAAATTGTACATACACATAAAACCAACCCCATACTTAGAGCCAAAAGCACTATTACTTATGTGTAAACTCTTCAGTTGTTCTGTTCTCTCTGGCAGCACCTCCATCATGCACCTCACAGGAATTTAAGTGTGTGACGAGCGGTGAATGCATTTCACTTGGATTTGTCTGCGATGGGGAGGAAGACTGCATCGATGGCTCAGATGAACAAAGAACCTGTGGTATGCAGACTGATTGTTTCCTTACTCACTGTAAGGACTAAAAAAACTGAAATGATGTGGCTGTTTTCTTTGGGATGATGTTGACTATTAACCCACTTTGTGCGTGTGTTTTTTCTAAATATGTCCTGAAATGTAATTCAGAGAAGGGCATGTATGAGCATATTATTCAGAAGCTGAAGTATCATCACAGAGGACACAGGGCTGCCTGCTCATGTGCAGTAATGACGAGTAGAACCACTTGGTGGCTACATCACACCTGTATAAAGCTTGAGCCTGTCACTATGCATGGAGTTCAAATGACACTTACAATTCGTCTAATTCAAATAAAGCAAAACTGCAAACAACCACAAAGTAAACAACTGTCTCAAATTCTATGAGATTTTTCTTCTTAGTCATTTAGGAGAAAACACATAAATATCAATAGTACCATTAACTAACATGTAAAATGTCTTGCATTCCTTAACTGAAATTGCCCAGTACCCAATTACAAGTTGTAATTGTCCTGCAATGTAGTATTTAAAAATAAATACGCACTCACATGTTCTTGTTGGTTCAGGTGGACGAACATGCAGCTCAGACCAGTTCACATGCCAGGAGGGCCAGTGTATCCCCAGCAAATACAGATGTGACCATGTGACGGACTGCATGGACAACTCTGATGAGAACAACTGCAGTAAGACTTTTACATCTACTGGGAACTGAGCGTGCTGTACTTTACAGTCCAGAAATCATTGTACTGATTCATAATGTCAGATCATTTTTAACTTGAGGGTTATTTGTTTAATTGGAACCATTTTATTGGCATTAAAGTAAGTTTGTGTTTTTTTGTTTTTTTTCGCAGACTATCCACCATGCACTGAGAAGACGTGTGCTAACGGGGCCTGTTATAACAACTCCCAGCACTGCAATGGGCTACAGAACTGCAGAGACGGCTCTGATGAATTCAACTGCAGTGAGTAGATGAGACTCACAGCAAACCTCAGTTTGTCACTGGCAGTGACGGTTGTGGAGACACTGTAAACAATATTTTGTGCCAGATAAACAGCAGAAAAATAATCAATTACATTTTCCTCTATATGTAAATATTTGTACATGAAGATGATATGGTTGAAATGCATTTACTGTGCTAAACTGATCTATAGATCTCCAGATTCCTAAAGGACCTTTTATCCTGCTCACAAAATTTCTAAAATATTATAAAACATAAATACATATTTTAAACCATTTTCCAAGTTTGAATCAACACCTCTAAAACAATTTCAACCAAACTGAACATTATAACCTCCATGATAGGAGGATTTTTTGCAGGACTGTTGTATTAAACCGCATTAGGTAGATAAGGCTGCAGGTCTTGTTCTGTTCCTTTTCTTTGTGGTTAAGGTTAGCTGAGCTGTTTGTTGTTTTTATGGTGGCAGAAATATTGTAGCTAAAAGTGCTGAAGCCTCAGTATCTGGTTCTTTTTAAAATTTCTTCTTGGTGATTTTGGTGACGCAGGAATTTGAAGCTTGTTCTGCTGTTGCACAGGTTGTGGTTGCTTCAGTTTTAGTTAGAAGCTGTTTTATTCCCAGTGGGGTTTTAATAGTAAACAGAATGTTTGTCCTGTTGTAAATGCAGTCACTGTGTTTTATTTTCAGCCTCTCAGCACTGTCCCATCCACCAGTATCAGTGTGCAAATGGCTACTGTATTCCACATTCCTTCGTATGTGACCACTGGGATGACTGTGGGGACAACAGTGATGAACAAGGCTGTGGTAAGGATGACACTGCATTGACACAAGCGTTTTAACAGAGGTGCAACTCAACAGTTTAGATATTGTTGTGACATTCATATTAGATAGGCCCACAATTAAGTTGCAGTTTATGGCAAGATGGGTAAGACTAAATAAATGTGAGTTCTACTGTCTATTTATTCATTAGCGTACCAGAGCTGTAGCGGCAATGAGTTCACATGTTCCAGTGGTCGTTGTATCCCTCAGCACTGGGTGTGCGACAAGTTCAATGACTGTGGGGACTACAGTGATGAAAAAGGATGTGGTGAGAAAACTTGTTCTTAAAATACCAAACTTTTTTTTACATTATTTGCATCATTCAAAAGGTAGCATGTGGAAATATTTCTAATCTAAGTTTCTGGGGTTTTTAGATAGTAACTCTCGAGACTGTTACCCTGGTGAGTGGGGATGCCCGGGCTCAACAGTGTGTATACCAGTGGGCAAAGTGTGTGATGACAAACTCGACTGTCCTGGAGGAACAGATGAGACCAACTCCACCGCACAGAAAACCTGCAGTAAGTCACACCAGTGTAAATTCTTCATATGGATTTGAGAAATCTACACATACAAGTTCCACACTAAACCACAAAAAACCTGCTGCAATGCTGCTGTGTGTGCCGGTTTATACTTTATACTACTAATTATGTGACAGTAGCCTGATCTGAAGAAACAAACTGAACTGAATACATATGGACTACATTAAATGTTGTGAGATCTGGTCAAAATGTAGGATGCTTCATCACTTTCATAGGGCTATAAATGTAGGTGCAAGGGTTTAGGACATTATAGTGTATCATACTCATAAACCTTCCTCAGAAGTCAGCTATCTTTTGCCTTTTTAATCACTGCCCTCATCCCAGAGCCCAAGCCCCGAATTTATCGGCCAATACTGGCCTATCACAGATCTATTGGTACATAATGTGAAAAAAAGATGCATGGTGATGATTCAGAATCAGGTGGTGTCTCAAGGGTGAGTTGCCAACTAGTTTGTGAAATGCATTGCTGGAAAGTTAATAAACAATGACCCCATCATTTTCTCTTTCTGTAACTCCAACACAACCCTGACAACCATCATATCACTCATGCTTTTATATATATAGCTACATATACTGTGTACAGTATAGTGTACTCTATATGTCGGGCTCTACACACATCTGTTTTAACATGAACTTTTCTCTCTGATCATTTTCAGTTGATGATGCCTATAATGCTGGTCACGATTCTGATAATAAAGTTCTGGCAGACAGGCTGCCTAGACGATGATCACAAGTAGAAACATTAAATGACCTGACTGAGCTTTGACTATGATGTTGGTTTATTTCTTTTTTACACACAGGCCTGGATCAGTGCTCCACATTGAGCTGTGAGTACCTCTGCCACCCGTCTCCTGAAGGTGGAGCTTGCTACTGCCCTGATGGTTTCATTGTAGCCAATGACAGTCGTTCCTGTGTAGGTAAGTGCCATATATCATATAATCTACGTTTGGTGGAAAAGCTTCTTAAACATTAAGTTTGTCCTCTCACTGGGAAGTGATGAAAAGAGAAGAGCACTTGATCAAATGGTCTCAGTCTTTTTTATTTTAGCTTTTACCATAAGTCAGCCTTGAATGGGTAAAATTACTGATTTAATTTCACGGTACTCTGGTCGCAAATTACTAGTAGTTATCCTCATCCTAATGCCTGAAACATATAAAATGGCTGCTTGTTTTATTGTCCAGACTATAATGACTGTCAGATCTGGGGGATCTGTGACCAGCTGTGTGAAGATCGTCCCGGGACACACCACTGTAGCTGTGCTGATGGATACTTCTTGGAGCAGGGTCATGTGTGCAAAGCCAATGTGTCAGGTATAGTGAGTCACACATCACACAGTACTTCATACAATGCATATGTGTTACTACGAACTGTAGGGTGTTTGAAAGATCATCATGACATAGTTAAGGAGACCTATCTTAAATATCACTCTGCAATCTCTGATATCTGACACGTAAGCATACAAAAACATAAATGTAATTTTTTTTTTTTACAACTGTATCAATTATGTAAGATAACTGTAACTTCACTGCTGAGGTTGGGTATTTTTGTTTTCCAGCTGGAATGCCACAGCTCATTTTCACAAACGGGGGTGAGGTGATGATGGCCGATATACATGGACGTTTTGTCAGAACTTTGGTGCCGTCCCAGGGGAAAGGTTACGCTGTTGGGGTAGCCTACAACTGGCACAGTGACACCGTCTTCTGGAGTGATACATATACCAAAAAGGTCAGTCTTGATTTCTTTTTCCTTCACTTTTGTCATAGCTTCTTTATATGAATGCAAACACATGGTACTTGTCTACGTGAACTTCACCACTTTACACAGATCATCCACAACATTAAAACCATTTGCTGGTTCTCAAGGGTGCTAAGGTAGCAGTTGAGTTGGGGAGAAAAAAAACCCATTCACCCCAAACCCTTTCTTTCTTTTGCCAGGTATATTCTGCCAACTATAATGGGGATAACATTAAGGAGGTTCTGACTGCTGCAGTCCATAATGTCCAGAACCTTGCTGTGGACTGGGTCAACTTTAAACTCTATGTCTTAGAGGCAATGGTGGAGCGCATCGACATGTGCGAATTCGATGGAGGGAACCGGGTAACACTGGTAGCTGAAAACCTGCAGTCACCTCATGGCCTCGCCCTGGACCCGACAATGGGGTGGGTTTAAATGCTTTTTTTTAATGCTATGTAACACTGTATGTAATTTATGTAAGTATGGATAGTAAAATTAATATTAGTATTCTTTTTTAGCATTTGTGGCAAGTTGCCATTATTATTTAAGTTCATCAGCTAAAGCCACTTTATGATCAAATACAAAATAAATCAGAGGCAACACTACAACATTTCAAATGAATCCTGTTAAAGAACTCTGTATTTCTATTACTCCTAGAGTTTTTACATCCACTTGACCTTGCATCATGTAGCTTGGACTGTATAGCATGCATTCAAGCCTGTATTTTTTTGTTTGTTTGCAGCTATATGTTCTTCACAGACATGGGGATTTCCAGTGAGCAAATGAAGCTCGAGCGTGCCTTCATGGATGGCAGTAATCGCTTCGAGCTGGTGAGGAACAGACTCGGCACTCCAACAGGAATTACCCTTGATATTGTCACTCAGAGGGTCTACTGGTCCGACAGCCACTTTGACACTGTGGAGACTGTCACCTACAACGGTTTGGACAGGTAAAAGTTGTGCTGAAAATGTTATCAGTCATTGAATATTTTCTCTGTTGAAGGAAACACTGATGCATCTCTGTTGTGCTGTCTTTGATGGCCATTCTGTGGTGTCGTTCTTTCCCAGGAAAATAGTCCTCAATGGGGGAACCCAGGCTCCCCATCCCTTTGGAATGGCTGTGTTTGAAAACCACGTATTCTTCACTGACTGGACCAAGATGGGTGTGGTGAGAGCCAACCGGTTCAACGGCAGCAACCCAGCACTCATTTATCGTACCGCAAAGAGACCGGGACATGTTGTGGTCTCACATCCTGTCCTGCAACCTGTTGGTAAGGAAGTGCACGTTTAACCATCCTCCATTTAAAAAGAAATTTTATGTCTTTTTTTTTGAAACTCCAAGATCTCCCAGTCTTACAAACTAATACTACACCCAGCTGAAAAATGACAGTGATTTCCTGTCACGTCTGTCCTGTCTTACAGTGATGAACCCTTGCGGCAGACACAACGGTGGCTGCCAGCACATTTGTGTCTTGAGTCACCGCTCTGACAATGAAGGTCTGGGCTTCCGCTGCAAGTGTCGCCATGGTTACGACCTGCAGCCTGATCGTCGGACCTGCTTTAGTGAGTTCCCTTTGATCGAGGGCAAAAAAAGATTTTTACAGTTGGGATGTTAAATAACATTTTACATGTTCTGCTTTCGGATCCTCTGACAATTCAGTCAAACAGTGACATTTACATTATTGTTCACCCAACACGATTTTATTGTATTTCATTAAAGATAGGTATTTTAAACAGCTGCTTAATCAAGTTGAAGCTATGATGTCTGGGGTCATGTACAGTTTGGCCTACAAATTAAGTCATGCATACCTTGTCATTACCAAAATTATTCTTAAAATTGTTATGACTTGTAAATTTGCATCACATTACTATAACATATATTTCCCTCTCATTTACTTACTAACAACAAAAACAGGCAGGAATTTATGATTAAATTGTTTAGAGAGTCTGATTATCTGTGAGTAACCACTGCCACTCACCCTCTAAACAGAGGTGAAGGACTACTTGTTGATGGCGACCTCTCTTGGGGTGCGGGGAATCCCACTGAACTTGTCCCTCCAGGAGGACATCACCCTGCCCCTCACAGGGCTCGGAACTTCTTTCTCTGGCTCTGCTGTTGAGTTTGACGGCAACGAGGAGGCCATTTTCTACAACGACAGGTCTAGAGGTCTTGTCTACAAGTCGAACCTCAATGGCACCGGTGAGTTTTTATTATTCATTCATGTAATGAAGAACTGCGTGTATTTTTTACACATAGGATATAATCAGTACCTTACATTTTGTCTTTCAAAGCGCTGTTCAGAATCCTTTGTGTCACACCTCAGTGTATTGATTTTCTTTACGCGTTCTCAGTCCAGCAGATTTTGACAGGCTACAGAGTGGGAACAGTCGATGCCATGGCTTACGACTGGACTTCCAAGGTTTTATTTTGGACCACAAGCACCTACAAGTCAGTGGCGGCCTTCAGAGTCACAGACAAATCCAGGCGAGACATTGTGACTGGATTGAGAAACCCGAAGGGAATTGCAGTGCATCCTAGTGCCGGGTGAGTGCTCAAATGTATCGGTTGAATACAGTTGAATACATTCAGGCTCCGTGATGAGGTTATAATCCATAAAATGACATCAAGGTTAAAAGTGATGACAATAAACAGATCTGTCCTCTTGTGTGTCTAATCAAATGCTGACAGCTACTTGTTCTGGTCTGACTGGTACCGTCCAGCGGTCATCATGAAAGGCTTCACTGATGGCAGCAATGCTGTTCCTCTGGTCAACACAACACTGGGGTGGCCATATGGGCTTACTGTGGACTATATGTAAGCATAGGGATGACATGCAGCATTATTAATGGATTTCTGCAAACGATTCAAGGGATAAAATATTAAAATGTATTATACCTTTATACCCACTGATGAATTGCTCGTGATGGGCCTTTGACAGCATGGACAGGCTTTACTGGGTGGATTCCCTCTTGGACCAGATTGGTCACATTGGCATTGAAGGCCTTGACAGACAGACGTTTACCAACATCGGCCAGATCACTCAGCCGTACTCTTTGACCATTTATTCAGGTGGGTTTCTTAGCCTCTCCTCATGACTCCCACGTACTCAAGTGCACTTATATCACACATGCACATTATTCAAATTGTATATGATATGCAGGTTTATCTGCATCTTTGACACCTTAAAACCCAACTGTCTTATTTGTGAGAATATTTTCATTCAGACTAAAACAGTGGTGAACACAGGGTTATTTGATTTCATTGATGATATCATGACATCATTGTATCCTATCTAGAACCTCTTATTTCTGTCATATGGGAATGCTGTGCAAAGTACCTATACACACACTTTTTAAAATTAGTTTATAGTATTTAGTATACGTTTATGTGCACATTCAACACAGGACACTAATGAAATTTAATAAGCCACTTAATGTGCATGTTCTAAAATGATTGTTATGCAGCTCATGCTCATTTATTGTATTTTGTGAATGTGGATTAGTTTTTAGTACCTTTTATCTTAACCATCTATTTTTGTCATGTAGACTACTTGTATGTGTCTGATACACGGACCAGAGGGATATTCGAGATGAGGAAGAGGGATGGAGGAGGAAACATTATGATCAGACAAGGAGTTACTGGCATCATGAATGTTAAGGCCTACACAGCTGACCTTCACAGCAGTAAGTTCACACAGAGGAAGCCAGTGGAGTCGGCAAAATGTTTAACACTCCAGTCCTACAGTAACTGATGTAGAGTGGTAAGTAAAGGCAGTTTAGATAATTGTGTATATGTACAGTTGTGTACAGGGCCAAGGGGAGTTGACTGCTAGCAGGTGAGGAGCTGGAAGAGAATGATGATCCATATTGTATTCTCAAACCAGAATAAACACTGACTGCAGGGCCAGGGCAATAGTTGAGCAGTGACTCAGCCAAATATGATAATCTCTAAACCCGCTGACTGCTTCTTCATCATCCTCCTGACAGCCTTCACCAGCCGGTGCAATATGGTGCCCAATGGGCACTGCAGCCACTTCTGTTTCCCGACTCCCTCCTACAGCCGAGTGTGTGGCTGTCCGTATGGCATGAAACTTCAAGCCAATCAGAGGGACTGCATCAAGGATGATTCTGTTATCCCACCTGACAACATCTGTGGTGACAATGCATTTGAGTGTGATGAAGGACGTTGTAGGCCCAACTCCTACCGCTGTGATGGGATTGCTGATTGCATAGATAAGACAGATGAGACCAACTGCACAGATACAGGTGAATATACAGTACATACTATATATATATATATATATATATATATATATATATATATATATATATATATATATATATATATATATATATATATATATATATATATATATATATATATATATATATATATATATATATATGTTTAAATGTGTGTATTTGTGGAATATTGGAAGGAAATTATGTATCAATTGTATTAATCAAACTGCCTTCCTCATATGTCTTTACCAGGAGCAACCTGCTCTCCACGAGCGTTCACCTGCAACAACAAGCATTGCATCATGTCCAGCTGGCGTTGTGATGGCATGGACGACTGTGGCGACGGTTCGGATGAAATAAACTGTCCCACTCGTGTCCCTACCACCTGCGCAGCCAGCTACTTTACCTGCGATAACAACAGGTGTATTTCTACAACATGGTTGTGTGACGGTGACAATGACTGTGGTGATGGCTCTGATGAACACAACTGCAGTAAGTTTGAGTCTGTCTGTCTGTCACATTGTCAGATTGTATCTCATGTAATGCTGCACATACAAATATCATACATATATCAACTGCCCTATCTGTGACCGGCAGATTCAACCATCACCACATGCCCACCTTCCTACTTCCTGTGTCCTGACCACCGCTGTATCTACAACTCCTATGTCTGTGATGGAGACCAGGACTGTCTTGATGGATCTGATGAGAAGAACTGTGGTAGGAATCACTGTAACCCTACTGTTTACTGTCCAGAACACCTCCTTATTGAGCCACATAGATTCATTTTTGTGTTCCGCAATAGATGTTCATGTTTATGTTTTGTCACTTTAAGAGTTTTCCTGCGAGTCCTATGAGTTTGCCTGTGCCAGCGGGGACCAGTGTGTCCATTCGAGATATCAGTGTGACGGAGTGTTTGACTGCAGGGACCATTCTGATGAACGAGACTGTCGTAAGCTGGCAACACTGACATAAGATAGATATTATAAAATGAATTATGCCAATTGTGTTCATTAGCAATGTAATTAGATTGATTGCCCCATTTCTGTCTGTCAGGTTTATTAATAATAATACATTTTATTTTCATTTTAATGTTGGTCATTGCAGTGAATCAATGAAAATGCAAATTATTACATATTACACCTCTGTCTTGATGCTCAGTGTCTCAGCTTTCTGTTGCTGAGTTACTGAAATTTCCCAGAGAGAGCCAATGCAGTTTCAGTCATTTTTGAATGTGTGTTGTCCCTACAGCCACTCGAGGTCCAGGCCTCTGCCACAATGATGAATTCCAGTGCCAGACCGATGGTTTCTGCATACCCGACGAGTGGGAGTGTGACGGCCATCCAGACTGTGAGGATGGATCCGATGAACACAACTCCTGCCCTCCTACCACCTGCAGACCCAACTACTTCCAGTGCGCCAACAAGATGTGCATCCCGACAAGTTGGTTGTGTGATGGCGACAACGACTGCCGGGACATGAGTGATGAACAGAACTGCCCCACCCCTCCATTTACTTGTCCATCTGGACAGTGGCAGTGCCCCACTGACCAGGTGTGCATCAGCATGGACAAGGTGTGCAACGGCCAGAGGGACTGCCCCAATGGAGCAGATGAGTCACCTATCTGCAGTGAGTTTTATTTGGCAGAATAACAAAATAATGATATTTTGAAACTCTATCCATCTATATCTGTCTATTGCCGTCGGGTATTTGGAGCAGCTATTTATTAATATTCTTTCATATTAGAATATTAAAACTTTTTAAATTTCCAATACCTTTATTACTCTGAATAAATAATAGTACTGTTGATTAAGTAAAGACTCAGCAAATAATAATTTTAACATTATAATTTCAAAAACAAGACAATATCAGAGAAAAACATATCAAACTAATAAATGAATTTCACCTAGGGGATAAATAAAGTATCTATCTATATAAATACCACACTATGTTTTTAGGACATTACCACACACAGTGCAAGTAAATGTATAAAAAGAATTGTTGCAAAAAAAGACAAAAAAAACATGGACAAAGCACCACTGAACTAAACTGACAGACATTACTACTAAAATTAAATACCACTAACTCACTGTTATGTCATTTCACAAAGACCAAGATGACTGTGCACTGAACAACGGGGGCTGCAGTCATGGCTGTGTCCAAGGACCTTTTGGGGCTCAGTGCACGTGTCCACCAGGATTGCAACTCAACGACTCCAAGACCTGTGAGGACATCAACGAGTGTCTGATCCCCGGTTTCTGCAGCCAGCAGTGCTACAACGAGAGAGGAAGCTTCAGGTGCTACTGCTCGGATGGTTACTTCCTAGAGCCTGATGGACGCACCTGCAAAGCTACAAGTAAGCAACAAGCATCAGATTACAAATAAAGCTGCAATTAAACAATACTGAATTGTTGTAATATATCGGGAAAATAGTGTTTTCAGTAATATTCTGGATGTTTATGAATAGAAACATGTCCGTTTTTTGCTTTGTGATACAAAAGAAATAGTGTCAATTAATTGCTTGGATCAAAAAAGCCTTAGAATGCAGCATATACAGGAACTTAAAGTGAAGTATGAAATGTGAACAAAGCTGAAGATGTTGGATAAGATGTTGGTATGAAACGAGATATTCTGCGCTTAGACCCAGTAGCAGCTGTACTTCTGGTTGCCAAGCGTAGCCAGATCATCGCCAACCGGATCAAGATGAGACCGCCCCAGATTGTTCCAGTGATCAGCGGTTCGAGCATCGTGACTGTAGACTTTGATCGCCTGACTTCCAGAATCTACTGGGCCGATGCCTCGCAGAAAAAGATATGGAGCGCCCACCAGAACGGCACCGACAGACGAGAAGTGAGAGAAATGATCGTACAGATGCATCAAATCAAAACTGTGCGATATTTTCAAAATAATGTGTTTTCAATGTCTCTGTAATTCTAGGTATTCTCCACTGGTCTCATGGTACCAGAGAGCATAGCTGTGGACTGGGTGGGTCGAAACCTTTATTGGACCGACTCTGTCATGGAGAACATTGAGGTGTCCACTCTAGATGGTCGCTTCCGCAAAGTCCTCCTCACTAAGAATGTTACCAGCCCCCGCGGGCTGGTTCTGGATCCCCGCAACTAGTAAGACATGGCTTTGCTTTTTATTTTCTACTGAATGTTTAGCTCCATAACTCTTTTAAAATGACATCTTTCAACACCTTTGAGCCCCCTGCACATCCAGTCACAAAACATAATAAACTCTCATTCCTCCCAGCACCAACCTGATGTTCTGGTCAGACTGGGGCCAGAACCCCAGGATCGAGCGGGCCGACATGGATGGAGCCATGAGACGAGTCATTGTCAGCACTAAGCTCTACTGGCCCAATGGCCTGGCCCTGGACTACACCACGCGCAGGGTCTACTTTGCTGATGCCTACCTCAAGTATATTGACTACTGTGACTATAATGGCAACAACCGCCATCAGGTCATGGCAAGTGACATGGTAGGTTTAGTTTGATTCCGTTATTTAAGAAAAAAAACAAAAGGTGAGAAATCATTCATCAAAATAGAAAGAATAAATAGAAAGAGAGATAAATACTGTAAGTCAGGGTGATGCAGAAAAGGAGCCCTTGAGCTTAGAATAAAGCATGCCCACCTCACTCCAGGTTCTCCAGCACCCTCATGGTATGACCGTCTTTGAGGACACCATCTACTGGTCGGAGCGCTACACCAGCAAAGTGATGAGCACCAACAAGTTTCACGGTGGAAACATCACCACTCTGATGAACAATGTCTACCAACCCATGGGCATTGTTATGGACCATCCCATCAAACAACCCACAGGTAATTTCCCATTAAACAGCAAATCTAACTTGCACACTGTTAGTTTTCTTAAGTGTATGAAAATGTTGCGTGTTGGTGCAGTGCAGGTAGAGAACAGTTATACTAAATGACAAATGGAATGGGATAGTATGTTGAAATAGTATGTCAACTGTCACATTAGGTCTGATTGAAGGTGACATTGTTGTCGTGTGTTTAGCCATCAACCCGTGCAGAGAACACCTGTGCAGTCAGCTGTGCCTGCTGTCAGGCCTGAGACCCAGGTACTACACCTGCCACTGTCAGTCGGGCTGGAAGCTGGATGCTGATAAACGCACCTGTATCAAAGGTGGGTGTTTAACAGTAGCTTTTTATTTTTTGTGTGGATGAATATTCATTTTTTTTAGATTTGACTTTTGTAGTGTTTCTGTTGAAGTATAATACCGTACTTCTCTCTGTGTGAGTGTTGTGTTCCTCTCATCGTGTGCTCTCCTGTTTTGTTCTAGATGACACCCCCTTCTTGATGGTGGTGAGAGATTCAGTGATTTTTGGGATTCCCCTGGACCCCGCTGACCCTTCCAACAACGCAATGGCCCCTGTGTCCGGCATCAGCCAAGGGCGGGACATCGACTTTGATGACCAGGAGCAGTTTGTCTATTGGGTGCAGAGTACTGTGAGTGGGGGTCTTAAATTGATAATTGGATAGATGTTTTTATCACAGAATGAATTTACTGTGATAAAAGGATAACTCTTGATTTATATGTGTTATTACAGCCAACTGAATATGTTATACTTGAATAGCATAAAAGTAGAAGAAAAAGGTTAGGCTTTGCAGAATGCCTTGCCTTTTTTTTCTTGCTGGGGTATTTCTATATTACTTGAGTATCTACAGTTTCTACGAGACTTTCTTTGATGCATGGCGTCTGGTTTTGCTTTAACATCAGGGTTCTATATGGCGAGTGAAAACCAGCGGTACCAACAGGTCTGAGTTTGCTCCAGCTGCTTTCATCGGCTCACCATCTGGTCTGGCTTTTGATTGGTTAGGCCGGTCAATGTTTTACACCAATCCCACTGTCAAAACCATAGAGGTAAGCACCTTTTGAGACAAAAACAGAGCCCAGCATTGCTTCAACTATTCTCAGATAGTTGAAGCAATGAAGGCTAGATTAAATTAAAAAAGCTGTAATTATTTAATATTTATTTATAAAGCTTCTTTAAATGCATGTCATATTTTACATTTTTAATTTTAACCTCTTGTCAGTGTCTTATCACTTAACTTCTATTTTTCCTCTGTTATTGTGCAAATGAATAAACAAAAATGAACAATTCACTTAGGTTATTCGTGTGGATGGAAATCAACACTATAGGAAGACGATCATCACCTCCACTGGTAAACCGGAGGGAGCAGGAGAACCCATTGGAATAGCTCTGGATCCAGCCCGAGGGTAAAGCATCTTTTCACTGACAAAAGAAACCTATGGAGTATGTGTTGTTTTATTTGAATTCAATGACATAGACAAAATGAAAGGAGAAAATCATGACGTGAGTTTCTGTGGGTCTTCCAGCCAGACATACTGTATTATCATTCATTCATTCAAACCTTTATTTATACAGGGAAGGCCATTGAGAGCAAGCTCTCTTTTTCAAGGATGCCCTTGAACAAAATATAAAATACGAGAAACTATAATCCATTAATGTAAAAACTATTCAGATTGTTTAGATTATTATCATCGCACTTCTGTGTCTCAGATGATAATGATCAGTATTTGTTCATTCGTATGAATTTGCTGACACTGGAAAGACGCGAGCAATATAATCAATCAATATAGTATCAATATAAATAACCCACCCAAAGCCATAAACAGTGATATGTAATACAGTCAAAAATGAGTAAATAACTACACAATTTGTGTTTGTATCTTAAAATCTTTATCTGGTTGGTAAAAATAATCCAGCAGAACAAGAGGAGATTTTTTTTTTCCTGTGTATTTTCAATAGATTTATTCACACGGCTAGATTGAAAACCTTTGATACTTGGTCCATACAGCATAAGGAATGACTCATCTATTTTGCAATGGCTTAAATCTCTTCAGTCGTTTCTCACTTTTACACTCTCCCTCCCCAGGAAATTGTTTTGGACAGACAAAGGGTCTGACAATGGAGTTCCTCCAAAGGTTGGCAGCGCTGACATGGACGGAGGCAACCTCAGGAACCTCTACACAGGCAACAACATGGGGAACATAGGCTTCATCACTGCTGACATCACCGCCAGGAAACTGTACTGGGGTGTGGCGGGCTCAGGGGTGGTATGTGCGGACAGTTTTATTTGTGAAAAAGTTTACCTGCCTCTTCTTTTCTGCTATAGTTTTACCAAACTGACACTGTGCAAAAAGTTGTGATGTCAGAAAAGTTTTTTGTTCATATTGTTATGTCACCTCTTGTTGAAATATTTTGCCTTAAGTTTAATCTTCATCATGACCCTGATTTAACTGCTCTCAACAACCTCTTCCTCTTTGCTCTCCTTCCTTTTTTTCCCCAGATCGAAAGTGGCACCATGGACGGAGTAAGCCGGGTGACGGTGGTCAGCGGTCTGTCCCATCCGTGGGGGCTGACAATCTACCAGAACCACCTCTACTACACCGACCTGGACTATGAGGTCATTGAGCGGGTGGACAAGGACACCGGTGCCAATATGGTGGTGATGAGGAGTGGCATGTCCGGCCTGCGTGCTCTCAAAGTGCACGCCAGAGACAGTATGTGGATTCGCTGGTTTTTAATTTAATCCAGAGGCGTCTGTTCTGTAGCTTTTTGGTATTTTCATCCAGACTGTTCATTATGCAACAGGTAATTATTGCCAGTGAGTGAGCGAATAGGAGCTCAGTGTCCTCCTCAAGGACAGCACACAGCAGTATCGAGCACCACTTGTATCTCATCTTTTGAGTGTAGCTTGTGTTGAAAAGGCTTTTTACCATTACAGTCCTCATAGTTCTTTCTCAAAAATTTAATATTATCTACTTATTTACTAATAGGAAAAAACAAATTGATAGGACAGTGGTAAATAGAGAAATTAATACCTTTAAATCCTCTAAGACTGTGCACAATAATGTATGCAGATGCTAAATAAATAAATATACAAATAGATAATACAAATCCCTTGTTTAAGTGTTGCTCAGTTGTCCACTTGCATTATGTTGATATGGTTTCATATCACCCAGTAATGCTCACCTCCACCACTCTCTTTCTCTCTCCCACCTCAGACTCTGCAGGGACCACTAATGCCTGCAGTTCCAACAATGGTGGCTGCCCACACCTCTGTCTGCCCAAACCAGACAATCAAAAGACCTGTGCCTGCACATCAGGATTTTTCCCCTCTCAAGATGGCTCCCGCTGTGAACAGTATGAATCCTTCGCCATCGTTACCACCCAAAAGCACATCCGTGGCTTCCACATAAACAGCTCAGACCACTCTGAGGCCATGGTGCCTGTTGGTGGATGTATGTTGGCTTCATATTCTTCAGCCTTTTTCTGTTAATTGCTGGCTATACGTACCAAATTATCAGTTACTACAAGTAACATTATTTCTCTTTTGCAGCTTCCTACTCCATTAAGGGCAAGCTGGACCTCCATATTGAATCTGGCTTCATGTACTGGACTGATAACGCCACTTCCACCTCGTACAGGGGCATCTTCCAGGCAAAAACAGATGGAGGGAGTTATAGGACTGTCATTAACTCAGGCGTTGGAAGAGGAGGCATCCAGGGCCTCGCTGTAGACTGGGTTGCAGGTATGAAGCCGCTCAACCATCCAACCATCCCTTCAGCTGTGTATCTATCTCTGATTGCACTGACATTACCATTCTCTTCTTTTCCATTTCTCCTTTCACTTCTTCAGGTAACTTATACTTCAGCAATGCCTTTGAAAGCGAGACCTTCCTGGAGGTGCTGGCCATCAACACCACCTACAGAATGATTCTCCTCAAGTCCTCCCAGGACCAGCCCCGTGACGTGGCTGTCAGCCCCAAGCTTCGCTACCTCTTCTGGACCGACGGTGGCCAAACGCCCAAGATTGAGCGAGCTCTGCTGGATGGCACCAACCGCACAGTGTTGGCATCAGAGAGCCTGGCATCACCTCGGGGCCTAACTGTTGATTACACTAATGACTTCCTCTACTGGACAGATGATGCTCTTGATATGATCTCCCGCATGGCGGTAGATGGCACACAGAGGCAGATTGTCAGGTATGGGAGCCGATATCCATCTCCGACAGGAATGGCTATATTTGGGAACTACATGCTGTGGGTGGACAAAAGGCTTGGGAAGCTCTTCCAGGCCAGTAAAGACCCAGCCAATACCGACCAGCCAGAGGTAAGATTTAAATCATCTTAAAAAAGAATTAGCCGTATTCCTTAGAATTAACTAAATGATTTGGATAACAATAAATATTATATCGACAGATTATTTCCTCATATAATCAATTCACTGTTTGGCCTACTCTGTTACTCTGTTACAAAATCCTACAATCCATGGTAATGACATGACATGACTTGTTTTGTCTGACCATGGCCAAAGATACTCAATTTACAATTAAATGAAAACGTGCAATAGCAGTTAACACTGATTTAATATGGTTAAAGAATAACATGATGGATGGTTGTTGGTGCATTTGCTTGGAATGTATGAACCACTGACCAATGAACTGCAGTGAGCACCAATAATGATCGGTCAATACTTCTTTTGACAGCAGTACGACTCAGTTCAGGACGTTTTGTAATCTTGCTATTATATTCTATGCTTATGCCACCAATAACAAAATCATTATTTACAATGTCGCCAGGTCATTCGGGACAGTCTCGATGAGCTGATGGACGTCACCGTCTTTGATTCTCACGTCCAGCCCACATCTGCCAACCAGGTGGGCTTCAACCCATGTCAAGAAGACAACGGACGCTGCCAGCAGCTCTGTTTCGCCATTCCAGGCCAGGAGAAACCTAAATGTGGTTGTGCACATGGGTCACTCCTTAGTAACGGAGTAACATGCGGTTACGGGCAAGATGAGTATCTAGTTTTCACCACAGACTACACGATGAATAGCCTGAGGTTAGACCCTGCGGATCACAGCACTCCCTATCCAACAGTGAACTTGGGCTACAACCTGATGGCGTTGGATTATGACTTCAAGGAGAGGCGAATTTTCTTCGCTCAGTATATGGGGATCGGTCGAAGCAGGATTGGGTACATCACTACAACATCCATCACCAGCCCGCCTGTCATTATAGCAGCAAGTGAGTTGAGCATTGCTGTTTTATTTCTGGCTATATTGTTTTGTCCTTACTCTCCTCTCTCGCCCAGTCTTTTTCATTTTCCTTCATGATCTCCCTTCTTGATTTTGTCTCTTATTATTTCAATATCCTCTCCTCTTTGTTATACCGCACAGATTTGGATGATCCAGAGGGATTGGCGTATGATTGGGTCAACAAGCGTCTGTACTTCACTGATTACTATAGGCGTAATGTCCAGTCCATTGGGGTGAATGGGATGAATCGCTCCATCATCGCGCATGCAAACCGCCCAAGAGGCATCATTGTCGACCCCTGCTATGGGTAAAAGTGACTGACCTTCATTTCACTATCAAATATCTCCAGATTAGAGATGTTTTTGAGGTAGCTGTCCCTTTCCTCACTTCTCTCTCTCTTTTCTCTCTGCCTAGTTACCTCTACTGGACTGACTGGGGCAGCCCAGCTAAGATTGAAAGGGCCACACTTGGTGGAAACTTCCGGACCACTATCATCAACAGCAGCCTGACAACACCCAACGGCCTGTCTCTGGATTACGAGGAAAGGATGCTCTACTGGGCTGATGCCTCATTGTATGTTAAGTCTTTTATATATAATGTTTTGTAGCAGATCCCGTACTGCTCAGATTGTTTTGACAACTTCTTTCCACGCTCCCTTCTTCTTCTTCTTCTTCTTCTTCTTCTTCTTCTTCTTCTTCTTCTTCTTCTTCTTCTTCTTCAGAGACAAGATCGAGCGGGCTACTCTGACTGGTGCGAACCGACAAGTGATTGTGCAGGGTGTCCTGTACCCGTACGCCTTGACTGTCTTCAAGCAGGACATTTTCTGGACCGACTGGACTGAGAGAGCCGTCTTTAGGGCTGGAAAGGATGATGGCTCTGGTTTTGCAGTGCTGGCTCAAGACCTGCAGTACCGACCAAATGACATCCACGTTTATGCTGCATCCAAGCAGGAGAGCTGCTCCAGCTCCTGTCAGCAGTTCAACGGAGGCTGCAGTCATATCTGTGTTTCCGGTAAGTGAAAACGTGGGTGGCAGTGAATTGCTCACTAAGACTAAATAATATAAAGAGACATACAGCGCTACTAAATAAAAAGACAACCCCTCCCTCCCTTTAATCTTCCCTGTAGGTCCAACGGGCCCAGAGTGCCAGTGTCCTCATCTGGGAAATTGGTACCTGGCAAACAACGGCAAAGACTGTATCCAGGACACAGGGAAACGCTGTCAGCCAGAGCAGTTCACCTGTCTCAACGGTAACTGCATCTCAGCACGCTGGAAGTGTGACGGCTACGATGACTGCCATGACAACTCGGACGAGCTGGAGAGAGTGTGTGGTAAGAAATGAGACTTTGAACCCTGTATCGTTGCCATTTTGAGCGGACAGATGAAAGTAATTAAAAATGTTGCACATAGAAAGTTATTTATGCATTTTTAAACTCCTCTATCACATAAAGATGGGTCTACAATGTCAACTTTGGAAGGGGACACACATTCTGTTGTTGGCTTTAACCTCTGCTGCTTGAATGTAATCTTATTCAACAGTACATAAAGAGAGTCTGTCATTCCTCCTCCACAGCCTTCCACACCTGCTCAGCTATAGACTTCACCTGCGACAGCGGGCGCTGCGTGCCGCTCAGCTACACCTGTGACTACACAGACGACTGTGGTGACAACAGTGATGAACAGGGCTGCCCCTTCCCCACCTGTAACCCCGCCACTGAGTTCAGCTGCGCCAGCGGACGCTGCATCAGCGCAGCCTTTGTCTGCGATGGCCACAACGACTGCAGAGACAACGCCACCTCTGATGAGATTAACTGCCGTGAGTAATGATCAGGCTGATTGATTCATTAACTGATGAATTGATTATGGCGGAGGATGAGATATTTACTCTATACATGTTGCAACAGCAAGATTGGAATAAAGGTTTTTAAGTCCTTCTGATTTAACTCTCGATACAGTGGTTCCTCTGCATGAGTGACCATCTCCTCTTCCTCCGTAACCACAGTTCTCATCAGCTGATAGTTGAATATTACAGTTGTGCTAGGCACCTTCCAGATGTGACCCTGTGTTGCTAAATAAGAGGCATGTATCTAGAGTCAGAGAACTGTCACTAACCCTGTGTCTGTGATCTTGTGTCCTCCTTGGCCCTCTCCAGCCGACAGGACGTGTCCTGCTGGCCAGGTGAAGTGTGACAGCACCAACATCTGCATCTACCCTGAAAGTCTGTGTGATGGCTACAACAACTGCGGAGACAACAGCGATGAGAATCCTCTCTTCTGCGGTAAGTTGAACACTCAGCATTTGTCTCTCTGCTGAGTGAGAGAGAGAGAGAGAACGAGAGACTTCCTGGTAAGACGTTTAGGTGATACCAGCTGAGTCTCAAGCTATGAAATTGTATTTGTGTGTTACTCTACTATAGCGGATCGTACCTGTTCTCCGAACCAGTTCCGCTGCGATGGAGGGAAGTGTATCCCTCACTCTTGGGTGTGTGATTCCATCAGAGACTGCAGTGATGGGACAGATGAACCTCCCTCCTGTGGTGAGTTCTCTGCAGTTTCATTTGATATTTCAGGTACAAGTTACATTCAGAGAGCAGATTCACTGTCTTTGCAGCTTTGTTTGTGGACTCATTTGGTGATGGAAGGAGATTTTGACTTTCTTGTCACTATTCATATATGGGCAGTATGATTTTGTATGATGTGAAGCCATCGCATTGGAGAACATCTTTAAGTAAAATTTTGTCCTTTTTATTTTTTACTTTACTAACAGTCAAAATTGCATAAAGAGTGTAGTGTTAATGCTGGTTTCCCTGATCCTGTCATTTTCTGGATCAGGGAAACCAGTCAAGTTCAGAAAGTAATAAGTAGTGCTAAGTATTTAATAGCAGCTATGTAACAATATCTATTCTGATATTTACTGCTCAGTATTTCATGAACAGACAATAATCGTCTTAAGCTAAATATATTCAGTTGTATGTTTTACTGTAAGTTAAATGTAGCAATCAGGAGTATGATGACATGTCTGTTTATTAACATCAGTGGTCTATGATTAGCATAAATCACTCAGTGGCTCTTTGTCTGTTCCTGTGCAGAGGATCAGATCAAGACATGCAGCCCCAGCCAGTTCACTTGTACCAATGGGAACTGCATCCCCCAGTCAATGGTGTGTGATGGCAACAATGACTGCTGGGACAGCAGTGACGAGGCTCCTGAACTACAGTGTGGTGAGATAGCACTGAGACGTGTTTATTTAGTGTGATGTGGTAGAGGCTAGAAAATCATGCTTTTGAAATCTTTATGGCTTCATGTGTCATTTTGCATATGTTTATGGTATATATAGACCCCACTGACCCTTCTCATCCTCTCTCTGTCCCCTGCAGGACAACGCACCTGCAGTTCCAACCAGTTCACCTGCCCAACCTGGCACCCCGGCCACCCACGCTGTATACCCTCAAGCTTTGTGTGTGATGGGGAGAAAGATTGCGCCAATGCGGCCGATGAGCTCCAGAACTGCCCCAATCGGACCTGCCATATGAACGAGTTTGCCTGTTCCAATGGACTTTGCATCCTTCTCCCCTATCAGTAAGTAGAAATGATGTGTGAGTGAATAAAGTTATAATTAAAACACATTTCTTCCCCAGTCCGGGCACTCATTGACTTGTCACTGAATAATGAACTACTCCTCCTCCCCAGCTGTGACCGTGTGAACGACTGCGGGGACGGCAGTGATGAATTGGGCTGTACCTACGACACATGCGGCACCAGCCAGTTCACCTGCGGTAACGGAGCCTGCATCTCCGCCTCCTTCACCTGCGACGGGGAGAGCGACTGTATGGACGGCTCAGATGAGGCGGAGAGCTTGTGCACCACGCCCCAGCCCACCTGTGCTCCCCAGCAGTATATGTGCAAGTCAGGCGAGTGCATCGACAGCAACAAGGTGTGCAACGGACAGAAGGACTGCCAAGACAACAGCGACGAAAAAGGCTGTGGTGAGAGACATGCACAGATGTAGCATTGTTTATTGATGTAAATTATTATGAGTCCAGTGGAAGAGCAGCATCTCTCTCACATGTTTTATTGTTTTAATTAAGTGGAGACAAACTAAAGCTTTCTTTCCAAACCAGCAGAGATTATTCACTATCCTTAAATTTATCTCTAACATATTATTGTTGGATATTGGAATTTCAATTAATAGCACAAATATCAAAGTTCTAAAAAGTGTTAGAATATATGAATATACACATTTACCCCACATTTTTATGGTACTTAATGGCACCAGATAATTATTATTTTCATGTTTTTTTTGTTTTTTTTTAGATCATTTTTTAATATAATTTTAACTTAACATTTAATATTTAATTGTTTATTTGCTAAAATATCATACGATTGAGAAAAATGTCCAACATCTTTAAATGTTTTGTTTTGTTTTGTTTCACAACAGTTCAAAACCCAAAGATATTCAGTTCATTATACAGTGACAAAAAGTAGAGATGCGTAACTCCACTTCGTCTTCTTTCTTTCCTCGATATGTTAGGAATCAATGAGTGCCGCAACCCTTCGGTCCACAAGTGTGCCCAGATCTGCACCGACACCCTCACCGGTTACTACTGCTCCTGCAACCCGGGCTACCGACTCATGCCAGATGGCAAAGCCTGTGAGGACCTCAACGAGTGTCTCAGCACACCAGCCGTCTGCAGCCAGATCTGTGAGAACTCTGTCGGCTCTTACCACTGCAAATGTGCCCCGGGGTACATCCGCGAAGCAGACGGACGCACCTGTCGTCAGAACAGTGGCATTGCCCCATACGTGTTGTATAGTAACCGCTACTACATCCGCAATTTGACCACTGACGGGTCACAGTTGAGTGTAGTCCTGCAGGGACTATCCAATGTGATGGCGTTAGATTTTGATCACTATGAGAGGAGGCTTTATTGGTTGGATGCCGGAGCAGGAAAGATCGAGAGGATGCGTTTTGACGGGACTGACAGGGAGACACTGGTGGATGATGACGTCAGAGGAGCTGAAGGCCTGGCACTGGACTGGGTGGGCAGGTGTGTGAAGTGGGAGGAACTTCAATCATTAAAGATGTTCTTGTTTATAAATAATATATCATTTAACTTTAATACTGATTTTAAATTTGCAGGAGAATATTGCACCTTTAAGAAATATCAACCCTTTTGTAAACACTGTTGTTAAGAGTAATGATCACCAGAACAAGGCTGCAGAGATGTTAATGGAAACTCCTTGTGTCCTCTGCAGGAAGTTGTACTGGGTGGATGGTTATTACAGCTCAGTTCATGTGATGGAGCTGGATGGGCGCTACCAGAAGAGGCTACTGTCAGGGGACTTCACAGATGGAAATACAACTTATATTATCAGTCGACCTCGTGCTGTAGCCGTCAACCCTAAATATGGGTACTAACACACACACACACACGCACGCACGCACGCACGCACGCACACAGAAGCTCTTGTGGCTTGTCTTTACACCAAATATAGCCTCCACAGTTTGTTTGTTTGACATTTTTCCCTTCTGTCCCCTGTCTCCTTTGACTCCTCCTTTTTTCCCCAGATGGCTGTACTGGACTGACTGGGGTGACGCAGCATATATTGGCAGAGTTGGCATGGACGGAAGCAATGTCAGTGCCATTATCACAACCAAGCTGGAGTGGCCTAATGCTCTGACCATAGACTACACCACCAACAAGATCTTCTTTGCTGATTCCCACCTTAACTTCTTAGAGTGAGTTAAGAGATTCAGACAGGAGTCCATATTAAATATAAATGCTTCAACAAGGCTCTGAATTCCTGAAGCCGACATTTCTCTGGATAAGAGTACAAGTGAAATGCCTACAGTCTGTACTGACTCTTCACTGTATCAACCCCCAGCTTTGCAGATATGGACGGCCAGAACAGACACCGGGCCATTGCTGGTACTCTTCCTCATGTCTTTGCTGTTTCCCTGTTTGAGGACTGGGTTTACTGGACTGACTGGAACACATACACTGTGGAGAAGGCCCACAAGTACACTGGCGAGCAGCGCACAGTCATGGGGAACAACACACATCGGCCCTATGACATTCACGTCTACCACCCCTACAGGCAGCCTCGAAGTATGTAAATTAGATCTGTATGTGTTTATATTCCAATGATCACAATACACCACAGCTCAAAATGTTATTTTATAATGATCTTATTTCCCAGGTGACAACCCCTGCTCCTCCCACCACCTGACCTGCAGTCATCTGTGTCTGATCGCACCTGGTGGGCAGCAAGCTTCCTGCCAGTGTCCAGATCACTTCATCGGCCTCTCTGTGGGCTTTAAGGTCCAGTGTGTCGCTGACTGCTCCAGTACACAGTTCCGCTGTGGGGACAATGAGAAGTCAGTTTGATATAAAATCATTTGTGTTCCCTTTCACAGTCTTCACAATTCTCAGTGGTACTGTTTTTAAGCTGAATCTTTCTTATAATACTTAAACTGTATCTGTTAAATATTGTAAATTAACACAAAAATAATAATGCATACAGAAATTGCAGTCCAGATGCTTTTTCCTGATCCAGAGAAAGGAATAATATTAAAGACGAACGGTTGTGAAACAAGTTTAAGATGCAATGAAATAAAATTATTTAAAAAAACCTATTGCAGATGAATTTTACATTTATTTTATATAAGCTAATCTGCTTTTGCTAACAAGCTTTTGTTGTTTTTAGGTGTGTTCCCATATGGTGGAAGTGTGACGGCCAGTCAGATTGCGGCGACGGCTCAGATGAACCTCAGACCTGCCCTCCCCGTTACTGCCCCGCCGGCCAGTTCCAGTGTCAAGACGGTAACTGTACCTACCCCGGCTTCCTCTGCGACGGCGACTCAGACTGCCCTGACAGCTCAGACGAGGATGCCGCTCTCTGCAGTATGAGAATTAACTTTTCTCTTTTTTTTTTTTTTTTTTTTGCTTTAGCGTACAAAAATAAAAGATTTAAATGATTCACTTGGACATTAAAATGCATTGGCAAACTACAGGATAAGTTGTTCCAATTCTTTTGTGGCAATTTTTGGTCTGGCTGGATTGTTTTTTTTGGAAATACTACAGTTACTGGTTAAAAATTCAGGCAATTGCCAGGCTTAATCTCAGGAGAGGCCCTCACACTTAAAGTAAAATGTTCAGTTTTCAAACTCTAGTCAAGCGGCAGTCTGTCCCTGCAGGTGACCACCGATGCCAGGAAAACCAGTTCCAGTGCAAAGACAAGAAGTGCATCCCTGTGTCCTGGCACTGCGATGGAGTAAATGACTGTTCAGACGGCAGCGACGAGGACCCAGAGACCTGTGCCCAGAGAACCTGTCGACCGGGACAGTTCCAGTGTGCCAATGGGCGCTGCCTGCCATCGAGCTACGTGTGTGACGCACAGGACGACTGTGGAGACGGATCTGATGAACCCTATGAAACCTGCAGTAAGTGGGATATTCGGAGATGGCAATTTGGGAACATTATACAGTTCATTATTTAGGCTGATGATTCCACATGAGCCCGGAGAGAGGTATGATGTCTTCAGGGCTGTGGCAGGAATTGAACCTGTCACACTGCAGATCACAGGACAATGTTTCTGATTTCTCTTTGACTTGTGTCCATAATAAGGACAAAAAAGGAAGGCACTGCTGTAACTGATGAAAGCAGCGCACTGTGGAGGAACAGAGTTTAATCAAACATAGATTTATCTGTTTTTTAATCTTCTGTAATCAGTGTAGACCAAGTGAATTAATGATGTTGGATTACACATACTGATTTTTCTAAATTTATGTGGCATAAACGATCAATCTCACCATTCTCACTTCTTCCCTCGTGTCCGTCTGTCTCCTCCTCTGTCCAGTGGGTCCGGACTACAAGTGCGACGCTGACACTGAATTCTCCTGCAAGACAAACTACCGCTGCGTTCCTCAGTGGGCCCGCTGCGACGGCACCAACGACTGCATCGACAACAGCGACGAGGAAGGCTGTGGTCAGTGTTGGCAGACGTGTTGTTATGTGAAGGCAAGGCTGCAGCAAAGACTGCACCAGTTGAGTCCATGTCAGATGTAGTCCGGGTCAGGGACCGACATTTCTTCAGTATGAACAGAGATGTAGATTTTTTCTGCAGGAGCTTTGTACTGTGTTGCAGTTTTTGAAAGAGAAATTGGAGATTTGCTAAGAATGTAGATAAATACATTTGTACCATTTATATTATATACTTGTTGTGTCTTGTGAGATTTGGTTTCAAAACCAAATAGGTGTAAGATGTCGACCAGCACGCCATGTTAAAGTGATGTTATCCAGAGTAAGCACTACAACACTACATCTAAGCAAACAGATAAGGATGTAGCATGTAGTGGAAGAGGACACTAGTAACCGTACCTTTTTTTAATGGAAATGTATCTTGTTTTTTGCTCATTAAGTGAATCAGTGATTCAGTTCATTGTTCTGTTTCAGTGTGTTTTAAATCTTAAATACCAGCATGCAGTCACAGCACGCTTGCCCATTGACCACCTGTTGAATTAACCTTTAAATCCTTCTCTTTCTGACCTTGCCCCTCTAACAGAGGCGGTGACCTGTGACCCTCTGGGAGATTTCCGATGTGACAACCACCGCTGTGTTCCCATCCGCTGGCAGTGTGATGGCACCAACGACTGCGGTGACGGCTCAGACGAGAGGAACTGCCGTGAGTTACAAAATTGGATTGGTTTAATCAGGTTTGCCTTGTAAAAACTTGTGGAAACAACTTCATCTATGTCATGTTTGTTAATGCTAATCTAACCTTACTGTTTATGCAGTTTTACTCATACTATGCACTGTGTCCTGAAAAGACCCCAGACTGTAGGTTTAAATCATCTTAAAGAACTGTGACTTTTTATAGTCTGAGTGTGTGTGCGGTGTGTAAACAGTAACACCTCAGTCTGATCTCATACTGAAGATATATCTGTCTCTGTGATGGTCGTTATGGTCTATAGAGCCAAGGCCTTGCTCTGAAAGTGAGTATCGATGTGACAACGCACAGTGCATCCCTGGAAACTGGGTGTGTGACCATGACAACGACTGCGGGGACAACTCAGATGAACGAGATTGTGGTGAGCGTGCCGCTGCACACAAACTCACTCCCTCGAAATGTTCTCTGTCATAAACCAAACACACTCATGTGAACGTCCTGGCTCTCTTCCAGAGTTGCAGACGTGTCGTCCAGGTTTGTTCCAATGTGACTCGGGTCACTGTATCCCCGCTGCCCTGCAGTGTGACGGCCGGCCTGATTGTCAGGACCTGTCAGATGAGACCAGCTGTCGTAAGTAAACAACATGAAAACAAGTGGCAAACTGCCCTGCCCCTGCAGTGTTTTAGTGCACTCCTATGTTGTTTTTGTGTGTGTCTGCATGTCCTGAGTTTTTAATTATTAAAGGGTAAAGTAACTTAATCACAAAACAGTCTAAAAATGCAACTATAGAAGCTACACGCAGGTTTTAAACTGTTTTACCCAGTCATCTTATTTAGATGTCAACCTGGAATTGAACAACACCAAAAATATCCATTACAACTGTCCTTTAAGCTGTAAAATTGCATTTAACCACACTTCACTACAGCGCAGTGCAGCAGCTGAAGCACAAAATAGTTCTAGAAAATGTAATTTAATGTATGTATGTAATTTAAAACTGATAGTTTTAGTCAAAATCTGTTGTTTCAACTCCCAGAAATGTGGTCTGTATATAACATGGTTAAACAGTTTCAAAACCTCTCTGTTGGTTTGTTTGCCTTTCGCACTCGGAGTGTCACAGCCCATATCACAGCAAAAAGATTTGCGAGTAAAATGTTCCCATAATCAAGAGGAACAATTGGATAGGATCTTATTCAGTAAGCATCACACTGGTTTTACTGGTCAGCTCCCAGCTCTGAATGTTTGTACGTGAATCAGAGAGAAGAGGAGGAAAAATTCAGTTCCCGGTTCGTTGTGCAAAATGCTGAAAACAAAGCGAATCCACAGATCTTCTGAAAGTGAAAATATACCAACAGTTGACTTCAATACGTAACCTAATTCTCTCCACCCCGACAGCTACTCGTTACCCAGGAGGCCGATGGTGCCCTCAGAGCCAGTTCCAGTGTGCGAACCGTCTGTGTGTGAGCCAGGGCTGGGTGTGTGATGGCACCGACGACTGCGGTGACCGCTCCGACGAACAGCTCAGTTTATGCTGTGAGTTTGTTTTCTTTCTTTAGTATTTCATTGTCATCATCATTCATCCCTTTAATCACATTACAATTGCAACCCCAATCCTAACCAATGAACTGACAAATATTTTGCAGATTTTTTTGAAATACAGTGAAGTGACCAGCGCATCTAGACAATAGCAGCTCTGGCAGTGCTTCCCCTCATTAAATCTTGAAGATGTTAACAGAAAACAATTAATAGTAGTCGTGTGTTTTTAATATTTTATCCCCTTTTGATTTTGGTACCAACGCAGATTTGTGTTTGTTTGACCAGTGAATATCACCTGTGAGATGCCGTCCAGGTTCCGCTGTGCTAACGGCTACTGCATCTACTCTGGCCTGATGTGCAACAAGAAGGACGACTGTGGAGACGGCAGCGACGAGGGAGAAGAACTCTGTACGGCGCTAACACGCACATTACAATCTGTATAGTTTGATAGAAATATTCCACCTTACGCATTGCCAGTGCTAAATTCACATAATAGGTAATTTGTATGTTAACATCCTCGTTTCTCCATCAATCAGCTTCTTAAATCTTTCTGAAGTGCAGAGGGTGTTGACTGAATCACTTAAGCATTCAGATGTTGTCGTTTCAGACGGATCAGAATCAACTTTATTGGACAAATATGTTGACACATACAAGGAATTTGAATCCAGTTATCATTTGTTCTCAGTAAACTTAAAGACAGCGCAGAGGACAATTGCATCGATACTGACATACAGCTAAACAAATCAGATAGTAAGTAAGAAATTTGAGAAAGGGACTGAATAGAACCATAAACACACAAAAACAAGCAAAATGCAAATATGCACACTGACACGGATAAACATACACATATATATTGTCCATAGAAACATTGTGCCTCTATAATGCAATACCTTAAGTTCAGTTTCAGGACAATGCTGTTGTTGTGTTTTTGATAATAAAAAGGCTCTTTCCCCCTGTTTTAAATGAAGCCATAATCAGATTTGTAACAAGTTCAGGTTCAGCAAATGCACCACTAATCATCAGTTTCTGGGCTCACCGAGGATTAGTCCCAACAACACTAATGCCTCCTGAACCTTCCTCTCTCAGGCCACTGAAATGGGAGATTCCAAAATGAGATCTGTTTCTGCACAGGACACAAAAGCCTGAAACATACAAGGGATAAGGAAAATAGTCTGTTTTATGTCATTGTTACGCAATCAGCTTAAACATCAATCAGAGAAAATTATTTTGAGAGGAGATTAAATAGTTAGGTTCAGAGCGGAGGTGGACATTGGCTTGCTCATTCAATTCCACAGAGGACTCAGTGAAGATACAGGGGAAGATATGGAGAAGAAGTCTTCAGTTCAATTAGTAATTTAGTGGATATTACACAGTATATTGTCATGTTAGTTTATATGTATGTGCCTGAATTTGAGTACTTGACCGTGTAAGAAAATTCCTGTATGTACACATATGTCAGTCCACATGTATGTGTGCATGTGTGTATGTGTATGCTTGTGGGTGTTTAATCTGGTAGGCAGTCAATTCACAGTCTTTTATTTGTGTGTTGTTGTTGTTGTTTGACAGTTAGTTAGTGAAGACCGACACTGTGGAGAAAGCTCTGAAATCAGTGGAGGCGGACATGTTTCCACAGAGGGGGTGTATACCCACTCAACCGTCCCTGCATACTTGTGCTGATGACTCGTTCTGATTGTGTCTTTCTCAGGCCGCGAGCCCACGCTGCCGCCCTGCACACTGGAAGAGTTTAAATGCACCAACGGACACTGTGTGGCTCTGCCATACGTATGTGACCACAATGACAACTGTGGGGACCGCACTGACGAGTTAGGCTGCAGTGAGTAGCACGACAGAACACTAATTCAACCTCTGGCCATGTCCTTTGTTCAACATCAGTTATTAAATATTGAAAATACATCCTTGTGGATGACAAACATGTGACAGTTTTCCCCTAATGAGTCAAAATTACAGATAACTTCGTCTTCAACATTTTTAAGCAGGGATTAAAGATGTTTTTGTTCAGTAATTCAATGTTTATGCAGATAATAGCAAATATAAACCTGATCAGATCAAATCTCAAGACTGCAGCAGCATGTTAAAAACAAACAAACAAAAAAGATTTCATAACTATGACATTAAGTAGTGCATAAGTACGATAATGTGAACATGGGGTCTTGTATGGAAGCGTGTTCAACTCACCAAAGAAAAAGAAATTGGAGACTTTACTTCTTATTTCGACTTCCATATGGTGTAATTATGACCATCCATCCTTCCATTTTCCCCTGCTTATCTGGAGCCCAATTATGACTTGGTGTCTCATAATTATGAGTCAAGATCTTGTAATTATGAGGTATGGATCTCGCAATTATGACGAATCTCCCACTTTGAGATAATTTTCTCATAATGATAATGGATGGATATGAATGTCATAATTGTGGGATCTCGTAATAAGGAGATCCATACCTCAGAATTACAAGATATTTTCTCATAATTTATCTATAATGCATTTTGGGTTTAATTCCATTCTGTCATAGTTTTTGAGGGTTGGCTTATTTATGGTCTATTTATTTATTTAACAGGTAATTGGATTATGGTCAATAACTGAATTATTCTGCCCATGTAAACATGTGTAAGTAGGTCTTAAATTGCTAGAAGCTGTTTGAAATGTGTCAGCGAGCGCGCTCTGTGTTGTCCGACTCCAGATTTTGGCCACGATCGCAACTGTGAGGAGAAGCTGTGCGAGCACGAGTGCACCAACCTGAACGGCACCGGCTTCATCTGTTCCTGCCGACCTGGATACAGAGTGGACCCAGACAGCACCTACACCTGCCTAGGTACACACGCACACACACACACACACACACACACACCCTTAGGGCTTTTGAGAGTGCTCCTCCTTTTCTTTCAATCAGACACACACATACGACTGCACATGGATGAACACATGATCAGCATTTCTCTAAAAACATCACTATTGCAGTTGAGGACCTGGTGGGTAAAACCATCAAACCATGCCCATCAAATCTGCAGAGCAGGGAAACATGACCTTACTCACACTTTTCCCTTTCAGACATCAATGAGTGTGAAGTGTACGCCACCTGTCCTCAGGTCTGTAAGAACACCAAGGGCAGCTACGACTGTGAGTGCGCCCCCGGATACAGGAAAGTGGGCGACGGCAACATGTGCGAGGCCATGGGTGAGAACAATCTTTCACCTAAGTAGACCTAGGTAGATGGCTCAGTGAAATAGAGTTTTTGACCTCATTTGGAGGAAGTGCGAGCAACAAACTTCTGTCGGTGACTCATTAATAATGTGCTGGTGAATCTAGTTAGCATACTGAAAATAAATACCAAAATACCGAAAGAAAAATGAAGATGCAGGTCTCCATGGTCTTACTACTCTCAAAAAAAAAAAATCTCAGGTTTAATCCAACCTGTCAATGTCTCCATTGAAATGTCTCTATGAAATGTTTCTGAACTGCAAGATTGAACTTTTCTTTTCCATTTAGTTATAAGTCGCTGTAGTTAGAAGAAATGCAGCAAAATGCCAAATACGGGTGAAGTGTAAATGCGCATGTCTCCCTCAGGAGCGACTCCCCTTCTGCTTCTGCCAGAGAACATTCGTATCCGGAGGTTCAACCTGCAGACAGAGGCCTACCATGACTTCCTCCAAGAAGAGGAGCATATCATGGCTCTGGATTATGACTGGGACCACAACAATACTGGATTCAGTAAGACACACACAGATTAATACAAGATACTGCAGAGAAAGACAAAAGAAAGACAACTGATGACAAATCTTACATCTTGTTTGATGATGTCCCTGCACTTACTCAGGTATGGTGTACTTCACTGTGGCCGGTAAGGACTCTCTGCCAGGTGCCATTAAGAGAGCATTCATACCTTCAGTGGATGATGGCAGTAACAACATAGGTGCCGCTGTTGACCTTGGCATCAAGTACATCACCAGACCAGACGGCATCGCTGTGGACTGGGTGGGCAGGTGCGTTTTCACTGACCTTACTGAAGTACCTTCACTGCTCTGGCGCTTGAGATTAATCATAGTTTATCAGTGACAATATTTTTTTTTCATTCACATGAATGTAATACCAATTAAAACCTATAATCAAATATATAAAAGGACCACATTATAAGTAAAGGGGTAAAGCACTTGTAGTGAGCACTATACTACCATACTGTCTTTTACAAATACAGCTTCTTGACAGAGAGCTTGCATGTGTCGAAGCATATAATGTATTCCTTCTCATTTTAGAAACCTTTACTGGGCAGACTCCAGGGTGAAGAGGTTAGAGGTGGCCATGTTGGATGGACGCTACAGGAAGCACCTAGTCAAGACTGAGCTGGGTCACCCATCTGCTGTGGCCGTCAACCCACGACTGGGGTAAGACAGTCAGGGCTACAACACCTGACTTCAAGGAACTGTTTTACAGATCGCAGTAGTTTAGGGCATTAATTGATTTTGAGGCAGTTTATTTAGTTTTTGTCACTTTGTGTTGCTCAATTTGTACATCCTCAAATTACACACCTAGTTCAATTTGTTGGAAATCATTTCCCTTGAAACATTTATCATTTTTTCTGAAGTGAAAATGGTGACATATGGTTGACATTTTATATTTTCTCTATTTTTCTAAGTGCAATTATAAACCACAGCAGAAATAATGGAGCATTTAGCTGCAACACTGCTGTATGGAAAACGTTAAAAGAAGGGCCTACTGTATAACTCATCACATCTCAGAGACCAGTGCTCTAATATGTGCTGTGTCTCTGCAGGATGTTGTACTGGGCAGACCGCGGGGAAACAGCCAAGATTGAGTGTTCTTGGCTGGACGGTCAGGAGAGGAAAGTCCTTGTGGCAGACGGCCTGGGTTGGCCCACTGGCCTGTCAATCGACTTCACCAACGGTGACAGAATTTACTGGTCCGACTCCAAGGAAAGCCGCATCGAGTCCGTTCTGCCTTCAGGAGAGGAACGTAGAACTGCCGTCTACATAGGTGAGGATTAGGAAGGACGGTCATCAAAGAAGCCTGAGATGAGATGAGAAATTATTTGGGAAAAAATATGTTCATGTGTGACCTCAGATACCAACGTGTTTGAACTGTGGATTAGTAATGTAGAATATTGAAATGGGAGTTTGTTCATCTGGCAGTAAACCAGACTTTTTGTTGCACCTTGTGTAGATGTGAGAAACCCCTTCAGTGTGAGTGTGTTCGAGGACCATGTTTACTGGGGCACTCAGGAGAAAGGCGAGGTGTTCAAGCAGGACAAGTTTGGCCGCGGAGCCAAGACCAAGCTGCTGACTGCTGGGCCCTGGCTGACCCAGGTCTCTGTGTACCAGCAGCAGAGATACAACTCCATAGCCAGTAAGCTGCTCACTCACCCACAGCACATATTCACGCAAACTGCTCTGTATTCATCTTGTGGAGTAATGCATATAGGGTGTCACCCTAATCCTTTCTGCATTTTTGCATTCATCACTGGATTATTGCTTTTGATTTTGAAAATGTAACTGCAGGAAGCCAACCATGATCCCCAGTCTTTTCAGATTACCATTTTAAATTTTAAACTTTAAAACCTAACAGTGAAATATGTCAGTACGTCATGCTCTTTACGTTGTTGAAATGGAAGAATTAACAACTTTTCTTGTCTCTGCAGTGAAGAATCCATGTAAGGGAACCTGCAGCCACCTGTGTTTGCTGCGACCGGGAGGTTACACCTGCGCCTGCCCCGAGGGCACCAGCTTCGTCTCCGGCAGTAACACTGAATGTGATGCTGGTAAAAAGAAAACACCTTTTTCCTAAGAATGTCTCATAAAAACATGAAGCTTCCTGTATTGAAATTTCAGAAAGGAATCTGTGGAAGGAAGGAGCCAGAGAGTCATAAATCTATCAATATTCTTCTAAACTTATATCCCAATCTTCAACCCAATGATTAGAATATATCTGCTACAGGACATGAAAAATCATTCTCTAAGTTAAAACAATTGTTCATCTTAAATATTTCAGGGTTTGATCCACCGCCTACCATGCCACCACCGTGTCAATGTCAAAATGGAGGCACCTGCTACTTTGATGACAACAAGGCTCTCTGCAAGTAAGTTTTATATTTATTTATTTATTGAGTCTTTACAACCAGAAATTGAAAATGAACTGGAAAACATCACAAAGACAGAAACCTCCGGGGCAATCATAACAAATTTATTGTAAAAAGACAGACAAATGCATCAGTTCAGTTAACAAGTGAGAGCGTTTTTTTGAAATGTAACAACTCTAATGTTTGTGTTTTGGTTCACAGATGTCCTCCAGAATGGAAAGGAGATTACTGCCAGACAAACATATTCGACGTGGTCGCCTCCTCAAGTATATTTGATTTTATAGCCAGAAATACTAAATTATATTATAAAAACGTATTATTAATAAGCTGCCTTTCGCCCCTCCTCTGTCCATTTCTCTCCGTCTCAGTTGGAATAGCCATCGGGGTGACAGTGCTGATTGTGGTTCTGCTAGTCGCCCTGGTCTATGCTGCCAGGAAGAAGTCTAACCTGCTGGAGACGCTACGGAATAACCTGCCCAGTATGCCCAGTATGCCCAGTATGCCCAGTATGCCCAGTATGCCATCAATGCCCACCCTGGCAAGCTTAAGGTGAGATGGAGCCAGAAAAGAAAACATACAATAGATGGTTACTGCTGTCAGAAATGTAATATCTGAATGACATGTTCACAGTTTTTTGAAGTAGTAATATCTACTACTACAAAATAAGACTAATAAAATTATTGCTGAAATATGTTTTCCTGTGCAGTTGTCAGGATGTGTTAGTATGTTATTTACAGCAATTTGTTACAGCTAAATGATATACTGCTTGTGTGATGATGGTTCTCAGGAATGGCTTCACTCAAAATGCACCGGAGGCAGAAGCCAGTGAAACAAGAGTGAATTCAGAAGCGGTCAGTAACACAACGACCATTCAAGTCAATCCATTTCAGCTGTTGAGGTCTCATATGTTTATTTACTTGCTCTGTGTACTTGTTGTCTGATGCCAGGTTCCCTCTATGTCTGTGTCCATGGTGGACACGGAGGGAGGAAAGAGTTTTGAGAACCCGGCATATGTGGCTGGAGAACAACCCGCCTCCAGCAGCATGGTGACGGCCACCGCTGCTCCTGGTGGAGCAAACAAGGTCAATAAACACAAATGGCTGCTCGCCTGTGGACTGCATTGACTCTGCTCACACTGCACCTTCTTTTGCTTAATGTCTGCATATATTTGACATGCTGCATGGTAACATTTTGCTGCTATATTTTCCAAATTAATGTTGATATATTTAATATAAACTTAACGTAATTTCATCACTACTAAGTAGTTTGCTTACGGAAACGTTAAAAACATAATGCAGAAACATGACATTGATCCAATGTAGCACATCACTAAAGCGGAATTTTAAATTTTGACAAATTTGGCTTTGCCCAGTCTTGTGATCCTGTCTTTCCCTCCTCAGGAGAACATTGATAATCCCATGTATACGGATGAAGTTCAGGTTGTGGATGAGCCCACAACATCTGCAAACAAACCTGCAAATGCCAACAAGGTTGGTTTTACATCCATCATTTAGTTGAAGTTGCTTTTATTCATCTAATAACTCAAGGCTTTTTATTCTAAATTATCAAAGCACGTGGAAGAAAATGCTGAGAATGAAAAATTAATTGGATAATAAAATACTCAAATGCAGCTCTTCAGGTTTTACTGGTATAACCCTTGAGAGTTTTATTTGTTTTGTTCTGTGATGATCCTCAACTCCCTTAAACTGTTATGAATTTGTCTTCCCTGTGGCCATTGTAGGAGGCTTTTGAGAACCCAGCATATGGCTCAGAGACAGACGATGTCGACGTCACTCCTGCACAAGCAGCTGCTCCGAGCGCACAGGTAGCCATGGAGACGCTTGTCAAAATGTTATGCAATGTTTACTGTTCGATATCTGGCGACATGAATAATTACATGGCCTGACTGTTGAAAATGTGCAAGTAAAAGTCTGAAATGAAATATCTAAGTGGACTACTTCTATCAGAGTAGATGTCAAGGCACTGAAATCTTTGAGTGAGTGGGGCTGTTTCATTTTTGCATGTGTGTTTACATATATATACGGCATGTGTTCAGTTGTTGATGCATTTCATTGCTTCGTTTCCCAGCAGTTTGAACCCATTGGGGAGGACAGCTCTGTGTTCTTCAGAAATCCCACATACACGGTGAGTCCAGAATGACAATAAACAAGTGAATGTGTCGGGGGCGGGCAGGACTCGATGGATTTCACTCTGACATGCTGAGCTGTAAAGATCCTGTACAACATGGAAGTCATGAAGTCTGATTTAAGTATATTTTTACTCAAGTTTAAAAAAGTTTTTAGCCACAGTCTTAGAGACAATTCACAACTTTTTTGACATTATGTAGCATGGTTTTGTTCAGGACCCGACTTACACTGTCTGTTTTTTATATAATATAATTGTTGAAAATCATTGTGATCTTCCAGCAGGAAAACGCACAAGCCGCTGACTCTGACATTTGATGTCACCTCTACACCAGAGATTGGACTGGATCACATTTCAAGACTGAAACCTCATTATTGAAATAACATCACGGGTCAACAAACTAACAATGACAGACCTTGAACAAATCAACCAAGATAGTTTGTAAAAGAAAAATATATATTTTGTGTCACATACAGACTTAACCTTAATTTAAATGTATCTATTTGTGTAAAACAAAATCTTAGACATGATTTAATGTAACTAATATGAGACTTTTTCAATAATTGAACCAAGTGAATGAAAACTTGTAAATGCTGTGTCTATGATTAATAGTTTGTTTTGTATCTTTTTGTAATTTTTGTAAATTTTGACTGGAAGAAAGTTAAATATTGAAACTGCTATTACCATCATTGTGTGTCTGTGTTTTTGTTTAGCAAAAGTGTAATGATTGGACTCTTAATGTTATGAGGTTTCACATTAAAATTACAGATTTTATGCCCTTTAGATTAGATTAAGCCTCTGATACTGAACGTTTCATTTGATTAAACAAAGATCTGCCCTATCTGTCATGGGACGGTGCGACGGTGCACATATCACAGGAGGATCTGTCATCACAAGACTGAAGCTCCCACTGGTGTAATCCACTCTCTCATCACAGAGAGGACTCTGATCCCCAGCTACTGGATCTGACCCACTGAGCTAAGATGAAATGCTTTGTCATCATCCATCTAATCACACAGAGAGACACAAATTGAGACTGTGATCACAGGGCAGCAGCAATGATTCTGCTCATCCTCTCACTCTGTCTGAACACATCAAGGTCTCTTGCTTGGTCTCGGCTTGCACATCTAGGCCGACCAGCAAAGGGACACAAGAAAGTGAAAAAGGCAGAAAGGGGTGGATAAGTGGACAAGTGTGTAGAAGATTGGAAACAATAGGGAGAGGGGGGGGCGTGTAAAGCGCTGTGACCAGTGTGTTTGTGTGTTGTGGTTCATGAGTCATTGTTGATGTTGATGACACTTTTCTCCCCCACAAGACGTCTCTGACCATCAGCCAAAACATGCGCTGTACCATTCACTGAGAGACACAGACATGGAGGGAGGGGATGAATAGCAATGGATGGATTTGAGAGGGGCGGACCCACCAGGCATGCAGCTTGCAGCATGTGTGCTCACAGTGCTACCTTCAAGGACTGTCAGAAATTGTGCAAAAACAGTCCAAGTGAACGATCAAAGAATGAATTCTATGTGATGATGGTGAAAAAGTTCAAAAATTAGAGGACGATTTTTTTTTCTCGGCAGTTGTTCTTAGTTGAATAAACAGGGAATATTAGTTCAATTACACTTTTATTTCTTTAACAACAATAGCCCTATATTAAATGTTTTTACATTAGGTCATAGTCTGTATGGAGGCTAATTTCTGCCAGGAAAAGAAAAATCTGATGAAAAATTGTGGTAGAAAAATTAATTGTGGTAAGTAAAATATTAAGTGAGTATTATGAGACACTAAGTCATATTACATGAAATAAGTTAAGATTCAGACATTCCATAAAATCAAAATTGTGAGATACAAAGTCAAAATTGCAAGAACAGTTTCACCTCTACTGATACTAAGTGAAAACTTTGACATATACAAAAAGTGAGCTAGTAAAGTAATTTGACATATCATTTGGCTTTTCCTGGGCTTTCATAGCCTATATGTTTTTTATTTTGTGTAAAAAGTAGTGTATATGATCGGCCCCTATATCCACTTTTTGTTCAGTTCTCAGTTGTAGCGAAATCATGTAGGAAACGACTTAAAACTACTTTAAACTAACACTCAACAGTGATCATAAACCATGGCTGGATTAACATGTCAGGGAACCAAATTTGCTGTTGGGCCCCTATTGACATCCACCCCCTAGCCCCTTTTTTTTTAGGAATATCCACCAAGTGAAGATAATTTGACTAAATAACCAAAGTGCCAGCAAACAACAAATAACTGTTTGTTTGTTTTTTTTTACAAGGGGATCACAGGGTTGTGTAGGCTACTAATGCAAGACCCACCTTATTTCATACTTTATTTTTGTGGGGTAAATGTAGAAAATGTATACTTTTTTTTTTTTTTAACAAATGCCAAGTGACACATTGGACCTGGGGACCCAAGGGGCTGTAGGAAACAATCCTTGCCTACTACAAATTTTCTCTTTCTCATTTCCAATTAATGTCTCTTGCGCTCTATGGTACGTGAATCTTGGACACTGGAGTTTTACGAGGAGCACTTGAAGGCAGCGCGGACAGAGCGAGCGAGTGAGGGCGAGAGCGAAGTGACTGACAGAGGGGGAAGGGGAGACTCATTGAGCGTTAGATTGGACGAGGCGGAGAAATAAAACCTGGTGTGTGGCAGTCAGCTGGAGACGGAGAGAAACACAGAGAGAAAGGGGAAGGAGAAAACACAAAAGGAGGCAGGCTGGTGTTGTAACAGAAGCGGTGTCGGGCTTAGAGAGGGGCAGACAACAGAGAGAAACACGCACGCTGAGGCTGAGCGAAGCCTCAACAAGGTAAGGATATTCTCTCATGTGCACTGACTTAACTCTGTTTTTTTTCAGTGTGTATTTACGTGTGTGTGTCTGTCTGATAGAGAGCAAAATATCAGTTAATTTACTCTTATTTAGACTAATCAACCTTACTCTGTTTTGTCCATAAGCTCTATGAAATTAGTGTGTTTTTTTAAAGGCTTTTTATGAATTGAGCGTTCCAGTTTTTGTGTCTGAGTAAACCATGTGGAAGCCTGACTGTGCTGCATGTTAATGAGGTGTGTGTCTCACCTGAGATTGATTGCCAACTCCAACACTACATTAAACTGTGATAGAAGAGACTATTGCATGTGGATGTACACCATCTTAGACCGTATGAGCCAATTAAATGACTAGAAATGACCATTGTGTTAGGGGGAAGCTGATCAATATTAACAGATCACAGTGCTTGGTGACCTCAGCCAGAGGTTGGCTGACAGGACAGGCCTTTAGCTGTGACTTGGTCATGCTTTGCTGCAGGGCAGGGCAGGCTCTGTTTTATGGCTTTATTGGCTTTTAGAAGAAGCAGGAGAGCCAAAGACATTCAGTGAAGGTCAGGGTCATGCACTGTGGTTTTTTAGTAAACAAAGTCGCAAGGAAAAATGTGCACCAGTGTCTCTAAACCCAGACAGGGGACACAGGGATGTCTTATGTCTAGACACCCAGCTCATTTTTATGATTATGCTTCAGTGTTTTTAGGTGAGAATGAATTTGTTATGTAAGTGCAACAGATGAATTGATTGGTAAGATGACTGTTTGTAGGCAGGCATTTTGTAGTCGGTGTTCTCAATGCCCTGGGCCAGAGCTTCTGTCTGAAGGGACTATTACCATGTCTGGTTGTAAAGTCAAGCAAACGACTTCAAAGAGACACAAAGTGACCACAAAAAGATGCAAAAAGATGACAAAGAGACACAAAATGCTCAATAACTGCAAAGCGACCACAGAGATATTCAAAAATATCACAAACGGATGCAAAACAACAACATGAAGGTGCTAAACGACTACAAGAGATGCAGTGGCCTCAAAGAGATGCTATATGACCACAAAGAGACAAAAAATGACTACAAAGATGTGAAAAACAATGTCAAAGAGACACTAAATCTACATTAAAGAGGAACAAAAATGAATTCAAAGAGACAAAAAGATACAAAGAGGTGCAAATTGCCCATGGACGATGTGGTTGCATCGTTTTTAGTCACTCTGCGCCTCTGAGTCTGGGTGTCTTGCTCCCATGTGTGGAGCGTGGGAGCCTTTCACATGTTTGTGGCCAGGATTGTCCCCTCTTAAACCCTGTTTTTCTGTGCATTTACACATATCATTATGAGTTCAGAGGGAGTTTAACATTAGCCATCAGTCAAAAGCCTCTAAGGCTTGGCCCTCCTACCAGCCTGATTGGCACTTTATCAACATGATCATGATAAGCCAAACATGTTTTGGCTGTTGAAATTCTTGTTTGCCTTGTAAAAAGAGACATTGGCCTGTCTGCACACACAAATATGGGATTCCTTTCCTCAGACAGGGAGCCAAATTCAATCTCTCAACCCTAGAAGTGATCCTTTATCCTGCTGTGTCTGAGAGTGGGCGTGTTGAAGGTGTTTTGAAGTGATGTTCTTCTCATAAGCCTCTTAAGAGCCGTCTGGCTCCTGACCTCCTCTGCACTACATTTTTATGTTATTTCTAGCATTTATTCAAGCACAATTGAAATCTAAACTGAATCTCAAGGTCACTGCATGGAAGTGAAGAGTAACTTTACAGTGTGATTGACAGAATTACCTATGTAAGAATTATTTTATCATGTTATCATAAAACAGAGGTCCTTGATTTGGGATTAGAGCAGCAACGATTAGTTGATCATAAGAAAATAATGGACAACTATTTTTTTTAATTGATTCATTCTTTCAATCTTTTTGTGAAAACAGCCAAAAAAAGACTCACAATCACGTTCCAGCTTCTGGAATGAGAGAATTAGCTTTCTTTGATTTTAGGACTTTTGATTGAGCAAAACAAGACCTTTTTAAAGATATCACTTTGGGCTCTGACAAGTTGTGATGGATATTTCTCTTCTTGTTTCCCTTTTTTTTTTTTTTTTTTACATTTTTTTTACATTTCATTTCATAAATGTCTTTTTTTGAGATGCAGACATTCTGGATGATTTTGCTATATATATAATTTTTTTTTTTTTTACTTTGTAGAAGGAGAATAGAAAGTGTTTAATTTTTGAAATGAGAGATGCTCTGTAAATCTTTTGTGGCGTTACTACAGCATAGATCGTAATCCTACTGGGAAATGTACAACATGCAACTTTTTTTTTTTTTTTCCCCTAACGGATATTGGAATTAAATCTGTCATATTCAAACATGTCAGATCAGCCATGTGGGTGGCATCATAGGTGGTGGATGGACCACACACACACACACACACACACACGCACACACGCACACACGCACACACGCACGCGCGCGCGCAAAAGCACGCAGAGCGGTGGGCAGATGGCATCAGCAGTGTGTTGGCGACCTCGCCCCTCTCTGTCTCCCTCTCGGGACCCGTCCAACAGCAAATGAGTCTGGCAAACAGGTGGCGTACGTGCATGTTTGTGTGTGTGAGGAGGGAGGACAGTGACGTTTAGCTCTGCATACACAGTGTCAGTGTAAGAAAGTAGCACGCTTGACTGTAGATTGTGTTAATGCCTAGTTTAGCAGTAGGATGAACTGAAGACCATCTTGCAATGGGATGACACCATCGGCGACACCCATCAACATGTTGACATTCCAACCCATGAGCACTTGGTAGTCACCACTACATTACATGAGTACTCAATATTAATGGGATTGCACCCATGATTTTAACTACACACCTGTAAAGTTTCGTGGCTGTATGTTGTATGGTTGACAAAGAGCCAGAGAGCCTCCATGGACAAAGTTAACCAGTGTAAAACACAGTCAAAGCATATAAGGGATGATTCAGTGAGGATTTGACTATCAATCACAAACCTCAGTGCTCCATGATACAGAACATCTGATCAATATGAAGAAGAGACGTGGAATGTTGTCATGATTGAGCACCAGAAGCCAGGGGGAAAACCCTGATTAGAAAATGATAAAAACCAATAACACAACAATAAAGAACACACAGCTGACAGTTGTACCATGCTGCGATGGAGACCCTGCAGATCAAGTGATTACCCCAAGGTCAAAACTCTTAATAATAGTTTTCTGTGTAATATTTAAGTGTTAATTATTAGAACATAAACAGACACCCGGTTTGTTGATGTGTCCTTGAGCAGCTCCCTCACTCCCTCCGTTAATTTGACAAGGCAAGGTGATTTAAAGGAAAACTTGCCAACCGGAGTCAACAAATGATGAATTATTCATTTTTAAATAAAATCTGTATGCAAATGCTGTAAAGGGGCAAACTATAAACTACATTAATAAACCAGAGTTAAGATCATGCAGGTAAAAGTAATTAGGTTGTCTACAAACTTGCTATACGGCTATCCTGCTCATACTGTGGGCTGACACCAGGATGAAAGGTTTAGCTTAGCATAAACACTGGAAAAAAAAAAAATGGAGGGGGGGGGGCAGTTAGCCTGGCTCTGTTCAAAGCAAAACATGTAAACATGTTATATCTTCTTGGTTTAACATGTACAGAAACCGACAATTCGCTATTTTTGGAGCAGCAACTTCAAGTCTTCGCTAACTGCCTAGCAACTGCTTTCAGCCAAAAATAGTCGTGCACAGAACCCCTTGTAAACAGCAAAATGTCATTCTTACACTTTTGGCTTTTGTACAAATTTAATAAACGAGATATAACTTGTTAATTTTCGAGCTTTAGATGTGCCATGAGGTGGGTTTTGTTACATTTGGACAGAGCCAGGTTAGCTGTTTCTCCCTGTTTCCAATGTTTGTGCCAAGCTAACTGGGTTAGCTGCTAGGTGTAGCTTCATATGTAATGGCCATTATAGTGGTATTGATCTTCTCATCAAACTCTCAGCAAGAAAGTACAAGATTATTTCCCAAAATGTCAAGCTAAAAAAAAGCTCAGCACTGATGATGTCTTCAAACACATTAAACTCAATTAAATGAATTATATATTTGATTAAAATCTTTGAAGGACTAGTGTTGTCCTTGTCTAATAATATCAACAACTGAATTGTGCATCACAGAAATAATACTTCTGCGTGAAGATATCTAATTGAAAGACCACATTACAGTTAATTTATTCTAAAGTTAGTGAGGGGGTTTCAGTCTGCCGATGTGACCCTAAAAGTTTCCAAAAAGGCCTATCAGATCTTCCCAAAGACCAAGGACACATTTCCTAGTTATTTATTTTGTCTCAACAATGAAAAACCTCACAAGGATTTGGTTTGTAATACTATGAGATGGAGAGAAATCTGCAAATCATCACATTAGAGAAACTGGAGCCTCCACACATTTGTCCCTTTTTTATTGGATGAATTACTTAACCTGATAAATGGGTTATTGAAAATGCCATCAATTAATTTTCTGTAAATCACTTAATCAATGAACTGCTTCAGTCTTCAATTTTTATTTGTGTTAGAGTTCTTTTTGCTAAAAATACAAGTTGTTATTTTCTTCTTATCGGTCTGTCATCTTTGCTGCTATTCAGTTTCTCCCCTAATCTACCAGTCCTCTCTTATCTGCGCCATTGTGTTCATTGAAATCTTCGGTGATGCACACAGCCGCGAGCGCTGCCGTCTTAAATCAAGGAGGCTAGATAATACCGCCATATGGCCGGTGGGAACCTTAAGTATAACACTGGTAGACTCTGTGAGAGAGAGAGAGAGAGAGAGAGAGGGAAAAAAAATGCGGAAAGATGTTGGATTTAATCTCCTCTCAGCCTCTTGTGATTAGAGAGAGAGAGTGTGGAGGGAGGAAGAGATGGAGAGAAAGAAGGTCAGGAACGTGGGCCAAGTGTGCAGGGGAGGAGAGCTGAATCAAAGCAGGGTCAGCACAGAGGATGAGCGAGAGGATGTTTTACCCCTGAACTGCTCGCTTTATGGTTTGAAGTTTTCTCAGTGGACTGGGCTTGTTTGATGGCCAACAGATAGCAAAATACACACTAGAATTTCATTTGAACACCAGGAAAATGCATGAAAACAAACATTTAATGACAATTCAAGGACACTTGGAGCAGTAATTACAGAAGTGGTGAAGTTGAGAGAAAAAATTGGCTTAAAGTTTTCTGGATGACCAACTAACTGTATAACACATAAAGCGAATATATTTTGTGCCTTTTTTTAAGACGCAAAGATATAGCCTATATAAAAATGTTCTTTCAGCTTTCTTCACCTCTCTTTTAACCTTTTTTTAAAATAATAATTCATTATGTGAAATTGAATGATTTAATAGATCTAATGGCAGCAGTCCCACTATCTGGTCACAGTTTTACAAACTCATCTGCAATGCCTTTGTTGTGAATCTGTTTGTTTAGTTTCATGGACATCCTGCTGATACAGAGACAAGATAGATAGAGAAACATGCATAAATATTACCACTTTGGCTTGTTTAGTTAGTTGAAGCTGTATAAATCAGTAGGGTTGGTGAAGTGTGTGGATTTCTCGTCTGATGATGTGCAGAATTGATTTTTTTTTTAAAAGTGCTACGTGGTCAATGCCCTGCTGAGTGAGTGAATGAAGGGACAGGCATGCTGATGGTGGTGCAGCATTAGACTGAATCAATCTGGGGGGTATTATTATCAATGCTTGATTGAGGGTCACTCATAGGAAGAGGTCAGAGGTCGTGTCACACTCCAGCAGTGATCCAGAGTAGACAAGATGTGTAGATTGGAAGACACTGGTGATACTGGTCTCTCTGTTAACGTGTGTATTTACTGAAGTGCAGCAGAAAAACACAGAAGCCAAATTACAAGACAGTAAAGGAATAGTTTTACATTTTGGGAAATACATTTATTTGTGTTCTTGTTGAGAGTTAGATGAAAAGATCAAAGCCACTGTAAATACTGTAAATACCATGGTCCAAGGGACCTCTTTCCCACTGTTTCCAGCCTTTATGCTAAGCTAACGGGTTGCTGGCTGTGGCTTCATATTTAACAGAGGTTTTGATCTTCTCATTAACTCTTGGCAAGAAAAAAAGAAAAAGTGTATGTCACAAAATGTCTAACTATTCCTTTAAATGACAAAGTGATGCAAATGGATGAATATGGCCAGTTCATTCTCCAGTCAGTTGCATGGAAGATAATTTAATTCTCGCGTTTAATGATGCCATCAGCATCCATGTGTTGCTGATGGACCACAACAGCAACTTTGAGCACACAGATAGCCAATTATCATGTGTAATAGCTCTTTTAGAGCAGCTTAAAGAGGTTGTTTTTCATCACCACTCAGCAGTCTGAGACACAATTAAATGCATTACATTATAACATTTTACACATGGGTCCAACCTGTACTTTATAAACACTTGTCATCAGTTAAGCAAAGATCTGTTTGTGGTCTGGCTGCTTATTCTAATTGCCACTTTGGCATGTTGCCATCCTGTCTTCAATCAGTGTTTTTCCAAACTAGAAATTTCCTTGGCAGCTGGTATGTTTTTACCAGCCCACCCTGGGGAAAATGTGACAATCAAGTGACAGAAAATGACAAATAATCACTGTGAGACAATTGTAAATTGCTGTTTTTGAGAGAAATGGCAGAATATACGACACAAGATGACGGAAAAACGATAAAGTAGTGATTGTTTTTTAAAAACTTTGAGATGCCAAAGGAGAAAGTCTCTGGCTACAAGTGATTTTTGTAAAAATAATCAGCATTGACATGGAAGTTTCATGAGGCCTATAGATGTCTCCATTCATCTGTCTTAACGGTGAATAAATCTGACGAGAGCTACTTAGCCAACTGTTTGTTGACATGTTTGTTGAAACTGTGGATGTCTAACAATGAGCCAGACTGATATACCTTCTTTGTCAGAAAACACTGCTGCAGGATTGGTTTGTAATTTCCTACTCAAGAGGAAATGTTGCCCCCACAGTGAAAAACACAGACTTTCACTTTCATAAGCCACCATGTTGACTCCACGCAGATTTCTGCTTCGAGTCAAGTAATTTGTATGTGTCTCCAACTACTTCATATTTTTCTTTTTTAATCAGTGTTTTGTCCTTGCCCATTAATGGAGTACCTTTTCCAGTCCTTCCAGTTATTGGATACACAAATGTGGTCCTTACCTTAGGAGAGTTGGCTGAGGAGCCATGTGAAGCTATGCAGGGAAGGTTAAGATATAGAAAAAAACCAAAAAACCAAGATACACTGCTTGTTGCTATTGCTTTTGTTTTTACCAATGCGAGTGTGGGGGTTGGACTTTTGATTGGATTTAATAGTGGATTTTATACAGCTGTACCTCCAGTTCTGCTCTGTGTACCTAGATAGAGTTAATACTGTTTTGCTGGTAAAGATGGATGTGATGGATAACTGCTCTGCATGAATGTCCTTCATCCTGCAGATAGTGTGTAGGATGAAGCCTGAGCATACACACACACTCACCACTGTTATATTCACCTGGCATCTTATTACTGCGACCCTCCCACAGATGTGTGTTAGTAGTGCTCAAGCCTGGTGTTTCGGCCTCCCACCTACACAGCCTGTAGTTCCAGAAGGTTAAAGCAGGTATACAGCAGGTGGGCTGTGCACCTGACGTTCTTCTGTAGAGACTGTTAATTAAGAGTCTGGTTGATGATCTAACTAGTGCACACAGTGACTTGATACTGACAGCTGTGGAGGAAAAGTGCTATTCCCTCTCATGTATAAAGGATAGTTATAATATTAGATACCCTTTTAGTGGCACATTTTAGTCTGCCTAAATGTGTTCCCTTCTGGACATAGAATATAGATAACATAGAAAATCCTAGTTGACGTACACAGAACAATGTAATGTTGTTCATGATTTAATTTAAATCAAGATTGTGCCCTTCATTTGTGAAACATCTGGAATATTTTGTAAGGGACTAGCAAAGTCAAGTTGTCTTCCAAATTATAAATAGTAAGCTAAAGTAATAAACATTCACACTGAGGCTTTTATTAAACCACTGGTAGGGTTCTAACTACTGATTATTTTCATTGTTAATTAATCTGTCAACTTTGTTTTCAGTGAGTTGTTTAGTTTATAAAGTATCAGAAAAAATGTAAGAAAAATGCTCATTAGTTTCGCAGATCCCAAGGTGATGTCTTCAGATTGCTTGTTTTGTCTCGAACCCAAAGAAGATATTTAATTTGCATACAAAGGCAGCAAGTGTGTTTGTTATAGTTGCCATACAACAATAATATTCAATTCAAATATACTGTCTCTACTATGCCACTTTGATCTGAATGATCATGCATTGTCTATTTTCCTTATCTGAAATGATTTTGTGAATTTTGCTATTGCTACATAGCCAGTGTTAGCATTAACAACTGTTTACTTAACAGTCTTGCCAAGATCTTCAGCCATCGTTGTGTTTACAGCACAAGAGGTTATAATGCGTCCTCCGACCAGCGCTACTTCTTCAGGGCAGCCTACAGTGACTCTGTCTCAGAAAATGGCGAGACAGTTTGGCCAGACTGGCACTAGAGCTGGTTAGCATGCTAACTTCAGTAGAAGAAAGGAAATGATAGAAATGGGAGCAAAACAAGAGGTTTGCTTTCCATCATTGGAGACAGCCCTTGGCGAGTAAAGGAATGAGGATTGATGCTGAACTCACAACGTTTCTTTTAGACTGGAGAGTAAACAGTTTTTAATGCTAATGTTGATTATGTAGCAATAGCAAAACTTACAAGTAGCCCCTTTTTAGTCAAAAATTTTTGCAATTGCAGTGTTTTCTGTCATTTGTGTGGACTAATCTTAGCTCTATTTACCAGTTCTAAATATTTTACATTGTTGCCTGTGATGAACAGTAATAATGGTTTGTAACTGCTGGTGTCACAGTAACACATAGCAAGTCTTAATATTTTTCTAGTAAAACTTTAAACCACGTCTTTACTGGGAAGTTAATGAGCAGGGTGGTGAGAAATGTGTTGTTTGGAGATGAAATGGGAAACCTTGAGCCGAGACAATATGAGCAGAGACTAACAATAGTACATGAGTGATTTTGAGGCTAAGATCCTAATGAAAATAAGCTCTGAACAAAACATAATGGTAATGAAAATCTGGTATTGATGGCAGCTTGAAGCTACATGCTTCACTGCATGCAGCACCACAGTACTGAAGTGAATAATGTGACACAACTCAAACACCATTTAATTAAACTAATTATCTGCAAGACTCTTGAGTTGTGCACAGAGAGGGATCCTATTGTGGTCAGTATTATCTGACCTCACTTTCCTCTTGACAGTCACACAGTATGAAATAAAATGAATGCTTTATGCCTCAGTAATGAGAGCGGCTGTTATCATACGGAAACTTCAGCACAGTAATGAGTTGATTCATCACTGTCAAAGCATGGCTGGTCGGGTCCCCTTTCAAAATATATTTACATTTTGACATAATTTTAAATGAGAAATAATATACTGCAGTCAGTGACCACCAAGGTACTAAAACCTATTTTTGTAACCTCACCCTTCTCCCTATGAGCAGCACAAGAGATCAGATATTTGCTTTTATAGTCTTTGAACATCTTGTTGCACCTACCAGCATGGAAATGATTTGTACTATCTTTAAAATTTCTGTCTCAAATGTAACTATAGTGCAAATAAAAAGAACCATACTCCATACTATTATTTCAAGCCTGTGTAGTTTTAGATTAATCTCAGCAATCTGTAGAATAGAAACTAGAATAAAATCATAATTTATAGGAAACCTTAGATTTATCCCCCTTTTTTTAAAAAAAAAAAAAAAAATGCATATCTCATCCCTAATACAGAGTGTTATGTTTTTTTTTTCCCCCATTCTCAGTTACGTCTGGGATTTATCACTGTGGCCAACAAGTAGAGAAGAGAATTTAAGAGAATTTACCAGCTTTGCTTTCCCTCCCTCCCTGCTCTCCCCCCTCTGCACCCTCCTCTGAATGATTGAAGCCATGCCCATCGTGTCTGCAAGCACAGGTACGACCAAACATATGCTCAAGCTACTTGTTCATTCTCTCTGATGCTTTATATATACTTATAAATAATGGACATGCTATAATATCAAGCATACATTACTAGAGCTTGAACTGAGAGTATTAAAGAAGCTTAACAAAATTTTCTGTGAGATTACCACATCTGTTTACATGACAAAAGGTATAATCTCAGTATTTAACTCTAATATTGGTATTAGGTTGAGGCAAATTGACATCATACAGCAAATTGCATTACATTAGCCATTGGTTTAGTTCTTGATAGACAACAGGTGTTTGAATGGGTGATTAATACATGACTGGTTTTATATGATTCATAGGGCTGCATGAGACTCTGGCCCTGCTCACCTCTCAGCTCCACCCAGATGCCAACCATAAGGAGGACCTGGTCTTCCTCAAAGATGTCTTCAGTGAGAAAAGCCTTGGTTACCTCATGAAGGTACAGCAGATACATCTGAGGAGAAGTGACTTCTTCATATTTATGATTTCTATTTTTTTGACAAAAGAAACGATTTCTATTTTTTTTACAAAAGAAATGTAATTGACATTTTTCACTTAGATACATCTTCACTTTCATTGTTGTGCAAAACACACATCATACAGCATTAGTTTATATTGGGTAAATTAATCATAAATATAAAAAAGATTATTTATCAATAAAAGATCTAACAAATATTAAGTAAAAGGAAAATGCAATTGTTCAATGGACTCAAACGACCCTTCATAATACAATAATCGGTTGTAGCTAATTTGTTGTTTCATTACAGATCCATGAGAAACTGAAGCAGTATGAGAAACAGAGCCCGACTCCCGTTCTACACAGCGCCTCCTATCTGGCAGAGGACGTAGGTGCAACCTTTTCTCAAATATCAACTCCAAACTAAATCTGAATATGAAACAATACTCTACTTTAGAAATTACTTGGTATTTAATTAGATTTGTTTTATGAGGATATGTGGGACAACATTTTGAAATATTTTAAGCAACTTAAGAGATTTTCTGATTCACATCTTCAGCTGGCAGAGGAGCTTCAGAATGGGCCACTGGAGGACGATGAGAGAGAGCTGCTTCTCTTGCTGAGCACTCCTCACCTCAAGGTAGACTCTCACACATTTATTGTGTCTTCCATCGCACATCGAGCAGCTGATAAGTGCTCAGAAGTGTCTCTTTTGCTTCCAACCCAGACACCCTCTCATTCCCTCTGTGGTTCACTATCTTAAATGCCACTGCTTCTCTGCACTTTCAGTCTGAATTGCTCTGATTTCCTATCATCTATTTCATAACAGCAGTGTCAGAGCTGTCTGAACCCCTAATTATTCTTATCAAGTGATTATGTTCAAGTTATTGGCTTTCTGGGGAGCGGGAAGAGATGACGCTTGTGAAACCTGAACACTCATTTGTAAAATCAATCAGTGAAGGAGATGTTATCCCTCCTTTTCTTTATGTACGTTGTTGTTTGGTTATTTAAATCTTATCTAACTTTTGCATTTATCGGTGTTTCTCTTTGTAAATTGTTCCTGCAGGCAGTGCTGTCAGCCCACGACACGGTGGCCCAAAAGAACTTTGACCCGATTCTGCCACCGCTGCCAGAGGATCTGGACGACGACCTGGAGGAAGAGTCGGTGAAGATCGTCCGCCTGGTGAAGAACAAGGAACCCCTGGTGAGTCGCCTCAGACCTGAAGACATGGCAAAATAATAGCTCCTCAGACCATCAGAAGCTACTTTTCTTATGCCTTCATGTGGGTTTTAAAACTGGATTTACTTTAATGGAGCAGCTTTGAGGCTTCAGAGAGCTCTGGGGTGTGAATTTGTCACTGTGGGATGCTATAAAAACCCTGCTAAAGGAAATCCTTCAAGCAGAGGACGAAAAATAGATTTGGTGTTAACTTGCCAGAAGCACCTGCTGAAGAGCCACCAGTTTTGCAGCAACTGGCTTACATCAGAAAGCTAAATGTAATAGTTCAGTTAGACTGAGGGGTGACAGAATGTAAACTGTAATTCCAGTGATTTGAACTACTTTTCTTTCACTGTTCTGTCACAGCCTCACACACTACCTGTTTGATTTTTTACATGTCACATGTGGGACTGATATGATATAATGCATCAGTTATTTTACATCATGTGGAGATCAAATATAATCCAACCCAGTGTAGTGGCTCACAATCTATACATGATACCTTGTTTGGCCATTGACCATTTCTCCCTGCTTCTATTCTTTATGCTAAACTAAGCTCTCGGCAAGAATAAAGAATAAGTGTATTGCCCAAAATGTTAAAATATCCCTGTTAACTTACCAAGGAAAAGTCTCTTGACTAAAACTGATGGAGCTGAAACCCAGTGTCAGAAAGTAAGGAAGTAGGTTGCATAACCTTACTGTATGATACACTAATAAGAAATGTAACCAAATGATCACTAGCGTATCAGCCTACCAGCACAAACAACGAAGTGATCTCGATGATGAGGTATCAGAATCTCTAGTCACAGAGTTTTGTAATTTACTCTTAATAGGTTATTGATTTTTTTTTTTTTTCCCAGCAAAAGCCACCAACTGGCACAAAAGGAGCAGCTTTTACCAGTCTATCAGTGGATTGTATCAACTCAGCGAACTGAAGATGAGATCTGTGTTTGGAAATCTGATTTATTTTCGTGTCTTTCCTACCAGGGAGCGACTATTCGGAGAGACGAGGCAACGGGAGCTGTAATCGTGGCCAGAATCATGAGGGGAGGGGCCGCCGACCGAAGTGGTGAGACAAACCCTGTTCACACATCAAATATACATCAAAACTCAAATGTTGGTTGCAAGGGTGTAGTTTTGGTCTCAACATTGGTAGGGATCCAACAACCCCACCTACCCTCCAAAACAAAAAGACTTTTTAATGCCGTCAACCAAACAGAATGCCCATACACAAATGTAATACATGTACATGTGTTGTATTTCAATGTATGAAATATATGTACTGTACATATGAAGTAAAATCATATATGTATTTAAAGTACAGCCTATATGTAAAAATTACATATAAAACCTGTTGGAAATTGGAACAATAACATATATTGACATATATGTCTAGCTAATAGAAACATGTATTTTAGTTTGTCTGTTTAAATTATAGACGTATCTTACATAAATATATATCCATCCCAAAGCCTGTCAGTATATGTTCATATTCTATATGTAAATATAGAAGATAGGCATGTATGATTGAATAAAATAAGAAATTACTAAGAAAATCATATACAAACCTATAGAATTTTAATAAGAATGTTGTTTTAAAGAAGTTGCATTTTACGATGAGTATTTCATGTATATTATAAACTTTATATATCCAGAGGATGTATGTCTGTCATAATGATAAGTGACACATATGGTAACATCACTCTTGATAAAAGGACATATATGTCATAAGTATAGTAAGGCATAAAAAATCATAAAAACATCATAGTATAGTAAAGCATAAAAAGTCATAAAAAGGTCATAGTATAGTAAGGCATAAAAAGTCATAAAAAACGTCATAGTATGATAAGGTATAAAAAGTCATAAAAATGGCATAATATAGTAAAGCATTAAAAAGTCATAGTATAGTAAGGCATAAAAAGTCATAAAACGGCATAGTATAGTAAGGCATAAGAAGGTCATAGTATACTAAAGCTTAAAAAGCCATAAAAAGGTCATAGTATAGTAAGGCATAAAAAGGTCATAGTATAGTAAGGCATAAAAAGGTCATAGTATAGTAAGGCATAAAAAGTCATAAAAAGGTCATAGCATAGTAAGGCATAAAAAGCCATATAAACAGCATAGTATAGTAAGGCATGAAAACGTCATAGTATAATAAGGCATAAAAAGTCCTAAAAAGGTCATAGTATAAGCATAGTATAGTAAGGCATGAAAACGTCATAGTATAATAAGGCATAAAAAGTCCTAAAAAGGTCATAGTATAGCAAGGCATTAAAAGTCATAAAAAGGTCATATTATAGTAAGGCATAAACAGTCACAAAAATGGCATAGTGTAGTAAGACATGAAAAGGTCATAGTATAGTAAGGCACAAAAAGTCATAAAAACATCAATACATATAGTAAAGCATAAAAAGTCATAGTATAGTAAGGCATAAAAAGTCATAAAAAGATCATAGTATAGTAAGGCATAAAAAGTCATAAAAAGGTCATAGTATAGTAAGGCATAAAAAGGCATAAAAAGGTCATAGTATATTAAGGCATAAAAAGTCATAGTATAGCAAGGCATAAAAGGTCATAGTATAGTAAGGCATAAAAAGGTCATAGTATTGTAAGACAAAAAATCCTAAAAAGGTCATAGTATAGTAAGGCATAAAAAATCATTAAAACAGCATAGTATAGTAAGGCATAAAAAGGTCATAGTATAGTAAGGCATGAAAAATCCTAAAAAGGTCATATTATAGTAAGGCATAAAAAGTCATAAAAACGTCATAGTATAGTAAGGCATAAAAAGTCATAAAAACAGCATAGTATAGTAAGGCATAAAAAGGTCATAGTATAGTAAGTCATAAAAAGTCATAAAAACAGCATAGTATAGTAAGGCATAAAAAGTCATAAAAAGGTCATAGTATAGTAAGGCATGAAAACGTCATAGTATAATAAGGCATAAAAAGTCCTAAAAAGGTCATATTATAGTAAGGCATAAAAAGTCATAAAAACGTCATAGTATAGTAAGGCATAAAAAGTCATAAAAACAGCATAGTATAGTAAGGCATAAAAAGGTCATAGTATAGTAAGTCATAAAAAGTCATAAAAACAGCATAGTATAGTAAGGCATAAAAAGTCATAAAAAGGTCATAGTATAGTGAGGCATAAAAAGTCAAAAAACAGCATAGTATAGTAAGGCATAAAAAGGTCATAGTATAGTAAGGCATAAAAAGTCAAAAAAACATCATAGTATAGTAAGGCATAAAAAGTCACAAAAACAGCATAGAATATTAAGGCATAAAAAGGTCATAGTATAGTAAGGCATAAAAAGT